AAACATGTAAACTGTAAGATGAACTACAAGCTGCTAACACATTTGAATTCACTTAGTCCATACAATATGAATGCAAAGAATTCTGTAATATGTTGATCTTCTGACCAGTACTCAAGGATGATATTTTCAGCAGTAAATAGTGATGTAAAGTAACAAAATGTTAAGGTACTTATACCTCGTTAAAATATTTTTCAATATTTAGTCAACCCTCATTGATGCCACTTGAGTTGACAGAATATTAGAAACATCTGTCAGTATAAGACAAAACAGATGTTCAATAGCAGCTCAATCTAAAGCATCCCAGATGAGTGAATTTAAAACACCAGCTCTCTAAAATTGATCAGGATCACCTTCACACAGGTAAGGTTTATCAAGGGACTGCTACTGTTTCATAGTTGTACCAATATGTGTAGTTCTTATTTACTTTGCAAATTCAGACTTTAAACACAGAACATACAACAAACTCATAAAATTGCATTTTTTTCAATTCATCTATTAACAACACACAAAATTTGCTCCTCTTCCACCAACTGCGAAATTAAAATCCCGCATGAATGTTCATATATGTACATTAGTGTTAACATTCAAGCTGCATAATAAACTATTAATTGAAAACTATCAGGGGCTACTTTAATTAGTATTTTAGCTTTTGATTATTTAGGTAGAATGTACTGATATACGTTTTCAAATTCAAAGTGCAAAATGTTTACTTTTACTTTGTAAAACTGCTAAAAAGAAAAGGAGCTGGGAGAACAAAGTCATATTTCTTATTTACCATTACTTACATTAAGCAGCTGTGAAGGAGACATTGCACAGCCGAGTTATAGTAATGACCTGCATGGACAATACAAACACATTAAGCAAAATAAAGGAGCTGAAAACACAGACCTTGTTAAATTGATGCCACTCTTCTCTGACTGTGTGAAAAGGCGGAATTATGAAAGATGTAGTCGCCATTTTTTACCCAGCTTTCATGTTATGTTATGTTAATCATTGTTGCAGCGATAATTAACATAGCATTTGAGTATGAACAGGTATGATCATCTTTATTTGATTACTGATGCAAACAGGCTGGAGAGCAGCACTCCTGTTCATGAACTTCAAAATGACCATCAGACTCAAGACAGTGAGGTCAGATGTCATGTTCTGCTCAACAGGTTCAGAGGGTCACCTGGTATGCTCTGTGCCTCCGGACATAGGAGGCCGTCACACAAAGAAAACTCATCTGTGCACAGACATGTACCACACAGTGAGCCCTGTAATGCAGACCTCACACAACAGCAGCTGCAGCAGCAACATATTTCTGACAGTGTAGGATTCCTTGACTCACCCCTTGACTCAAGCTGAGTTTGCTCAGAGACAAAATAAAAACACAATGCACTGAAATTTTGTTAAGGTGCAGGCCTGTTTGTCTTTCGGTCTGGATTTGGACCAGAGTCCACCTACTGAGTAGGCTATGTGCACAACAGAGCAACCCCTGCTGCTTCACTTTCCTAACCAGGCAGCAGAGACTGCAGTAGTGATTTTATTACTTTGGGAGTGGTTGTTTTTATTGACAGTGTTAAAGTTTTGATTGCATGAATTTCCACTCTTCAGCAAGGTGTGTGGTGGAATCCCTTTGTTTCTTCTGCTTCATTTCTGTGGTTTCACATCAGCTCAGCTTAGACACTAAGAAAACCCCCAACCAAGCCGTAAACCCCCAAGGCCAGTAGAGGCCCCATACGGACCAGCCTGGGCAAGCACCTGCCAAGCCCTGCAGTTCGCTGCCGCTCTTCTCTGCAGCTCGTCTCGTCCCCTGCAACAGACTCCCCCGGCGCTCTGCCTCTGTGGAAGTCTGTGTGTCTGCTGCTCCCTCACTTGGTTGAGACACGTTGCTCGTGGATTCTGAGAAGTGAGGCAGAGCAGGCAGGATCAGCGTGGCACACATGTGGTCTACATGCATGCATCTGCATGTGTGGCTGTTTGCCTGATGCACCTCACAACCCCTCAGGATTAAGACTCTCATTAGCACCTAGCCGAAAAGATATCCCCTTTATCTCATGTGTCCATAAAAATCAGGTGAGGCACAACCTTTGCAAAAATAGACAAATAGGCTAGTAGAGTCACAGGCTGTATTATAAACATGCTATCGCCACCACAAAGTCCCAAGCGGTGAGCTAATTGATTCTATCAGAAATCCCAAATCCATTGGCTAAGCCAGTTTGTCAAACGTTGGGCAAGTAGTTTAGTTCTCCTGAATGGAGCCTGAAATGTAGAAAAGGCTGCCACAGTAGCATGAATGGACTGATGTCTAATGTGATCATGAGAAGTTTCTCTTGAATCAAATCGACTGAGAGCACAAGCTAACAAAATTCAAATCCAAGCTCTGTGCAGGGCATCATTTGCTCAGGTCCATCCCATGACCGAGAGATTAATGGGCAGTAACCAAGCTAGCAGACAATGTAATTAAGGTCCTTAGTAACTCCGTCACTAGACAGAGTGAAGTCAGCAACACATGAACTCAGTGGTGTTGGTCGGTTAGGACGGGCAGATGAGCTAAAGCACCTTGTTTGGTTAATCGCAAGACAAAAACATTAATGGAGATTTATGAGCCAATAAATTACTAACTCTTCATGGGGTCACTACACTGGGCAAAATGAACTTTGATTTATTAGTTTGGATATGACAAAGTATTTTTCCTCATCCATATTAATGTGACTATTTTTGAATAGTAACAGTGTAACGGTCTTGTCTTTGAGGAACAGAGTTTCTTACTGAAACTTTGGATCTGTTTGTTGTGTATCAGTGTCAGTCAGGACACTTTTGCCTACAGCACAAGTAGCTTATTTGATTATGCGGTCGTGAGTCCCGCTGTAAAAGAACAACAGCTCAGCGTCATGTTTCAGTATGTGTAGGCTCCGCTGGCTGTAACTGCACACACCTGAGATCAAAAATAGCGTATGGGGAGGGGTGCTGGGATGTGGTTGAAGGGTTTTGGTGGGAGCCATATGTAGAAAGCAAAAGTGCACATGAGCTGTGAACTTATCTAAGGGGGGATTTTTTTCACTGTGACTTCAATGGCTTTACTTTTGTGTTGGGGCGGGGCACTGCACTGCACTCATCTGTCAGAGTCAGAGGCTGCTATGATTGTGTTGCGCCCTGCGGGAGTCCTGAGGTCATCCCGAGTGGCGCTCTGATCTGATCAGCATCAATTGTTCCCCCGTGATCCTCTCATGGCCTCCAGTGCCATGTTGTCCGCCCAGACTCAGCCAAGTGCTGAAGAGTCTGATGGGGACTGGTAAAGCATTTCCCTTAGAGCTGTGAACTGGCACCTTCACATCCCGTAAACACCCAGATCACACGCATCTGTGGTACAGAATTCACCTCTTAAGAATGCAAACCTGTACTGAAAAATAAACAATAAACATGACTCCTACAGCCGACAGTATATGAGTCAAGAAACTACAGTTTTGTTGGAGCTTGTTATCACAAAAAACATGTTAAAACACAGGCACGGCAAAGGTGTTTTCTCTGTCTCTTTTATTTCAAGAGTAATAGAAAGCAATTATAATTAATTACCTGAATGGAACTATAGTGGTTTCTGGCATCACCGGGTGATCTTGGCTGTCTCGCTGTGGTGATTAATCCCTGCTTAGACACATCTCCACGAGGCTTCTCGTGAGCCACATAGCTTCTGATGTGCTGATGTTGTCCATCACCAGTGAGCTCAGCTGCAAACACTGTCATTCTTAATACATCAGCTGCAGAGTAAAACCACAAATTAATGATGGAACTGCAAAGGCAGGAGTTTTCATATATCTGAATCTGTATAAAGGGGCTTTTTGCCAAACTATGGAGACAGACTTGTATGTGTTATCTGTTAGATCAGCAGAACTGTGTATGCTAACAAGTGGGAACACTTTGAAAAGTCAGTACTAATAGCTTGTATCCTTGCCCTGAAGTGGGCCTATTGGCTTCCCCCTCGTGGTGGAAACAAAAGAAGCACAATAAACAGGAGCTCTTAGTATAAACTATATTAAATAAATAAGTCAGTAAAGCACCCAAGCATGAATCACTGTACTGTTACAGTAAAACCTGAGATTAATGAATATGATCCCCTCTCATTCTCTCTTTCAGGGAAGCCTCATCATCACTGCTTTATAGGGTTGAACGGGGAGGGCACAAGCTTGTACTGTGAGCCAAGACGTTCTAATAGCCACATGATTTATAAATGTAAAAGGCTGTACCAGTGCAGATACAATACTGAGTTTGTAGATGATACTTTTGTGTGCTAATTTACTATAAGGAATATATATGTGTTTCTACATTAAAGCAACAGTGTTAAATGTTGTTGAAAATTGGCCTTATTTTGATTTAAAACAGAAACAATCTAAATAAAGAATATGTAGGCAGGATTATGTGTCAACCCTTATTGCTTGGCAGCTCTTAATTGGCCACGTTTTCATTTCCAGTACCATGCTTAAAATAGCTAAAATAAAAGTGCTCTTTATGTAGAATGGCACAGTTTACATTAACTACCTTATATACTTAATAACTGGAAGTACTTTACATACTGCTGGGTAGCTTGTGAATTTTCCGACCGACAATCAATAAAATCTTATGATTGTACTGTATTTTGTCTTATTAAGCTCATTCTGAAAAGTAATTAGTAACTAAAGTTATCAAATAAATGTAGTCATTACAAAGTACAATATTTTTCTCTGAAATGTAGTAAAATCAAAGTATAAAGTAAGTACAGATACCTTAAAAACTGTACTCTAGTACTTGAGTAAATGTACTTAGTTACTTTCCACCTCTGAAAATGTGAGATGTGTGATAAATATTTTAGTTAATATGTGTCAAAAGCACCTTTACCTGTTTTAAAGTGTTTTGGTTTTTGGTTGCTGGTTTCTTTTAATCACTTTGTAATTCTCTTTATTCCCAGCTCCTCTGGAGTGCAAGGATCTTCTTGTGTCTGGCAGATCTCACTTAATGAAGCCTTCCCTGTCTGTGTGTCACAGGTCACTGGCCCTTGGGCAGCAGTACTCATCTCTGGGCTCCCAACCCATTCTGTGCGGCTCTATCCCCGGCCTGGTGCCCAAGCAGCTGCGTTTCTGCCGCAATTACATCGAGATCATGCCCAGTGTTGCTGAAGGTGTCAAGCTGGGGATCCAGGAGTGCCAGCACCAGTTTAGGGGCCGCCGATGGAACTGTACCACCATAAAGGACAGCCTGGCCATCTTTGGCCCTGTGTTAGATAAAGGTAGTTTTTTTTTTTTTTTTTAAACATACAGTATGTAGCTGAGCCTTATAGTATAAAATAAATTATGATCTAAATTATTTGTGCCAAACAACACCCAACTGTAAAATGTAGCCTGTAATGCTGAGGCTACAGGAAGCTGTTATAAAATGTAATATTTTACAGTTTCTGCTCTAAGGCTTAGAACTGCCTGTACTCTGGGCTGACAAACAACTAACTAGGGCAGTTACACTAATAACCACCTTTCCTGGCTGCAGTGAGAAACAAGCGCATGCTCTGACACATTATTCCACTTCCATCCATCATTACCTTCAATATCACGTTTGTCTTCAGAGTGAGTGGCTTCTTTTTAGTTTTCCCAAACGTGTTTACACTGTCATACAAGAAAAAGGGTCATTGGGGTAAATCTATCAACAAATTCTGGCAGGTCCAGCTGATATACTAGAGACATCCATCAGATGCTGCACATGCAGAAAAGTAATTGTAAGATATCTCCACACTAACGGTGTCATTTAAACAATCTCACTAAATCTGACAGTGGGAAACAATAGGTGCAGGTGTCACGCTTTAGGCCTTGCAGTTCCCAGTAATAAAGGTAGAAGTTTGTGTGTTGGGAGTGAGGCTGCTGATTGGAAATGAATTACTCCGTGTGTCAGAGGGGATGGAATCTGGGCAGAAATGGCCAGTGTGAGCAGTCCAAGCTCCTCAGTCAAATAAAAGGGAGAAGGGAGGCCAAATGAGATTACAGGCAATAGAAAAGGGCTGAGGGGCTCCGCTCAACCCCTACTGTGCATGAAGACCAGTGCAAGCCTCACACAGTCCAGCTCCCACGGACGCCCCATTCACACGCCCTTTTGACTCTGTCATGAAAACAGGCTGAAAGAGGATCTCTTCTAACGTAGTGTGAGTGTGCACTTTGGGATGGGGAAGCGAAGGATGAAGGAAGGGAGGGAGGAAGGAAGAAGAGTGTGTCACTTTGGGAATGATGAATGGAAGCTACCAACCATCTGCCCCAGCCACCTTAAGCTGCATGTAGGCCATGGTGGTGCTGTTGGTGGATGCCTAGAGGAAGTGGGGGGGATTGCGGACCTGTGGTGGGTGGTGGTGTATGAGACTTCAGCTCAGGGTACTGGCAGAGGGGTGACTGGAGGGAGAGAGGGGGAGGTAGGGAGTTTAGGGAATGCCAGCTCCGGGCAGAGTGGGACTGTGGGGGCGCGAGTCGCTGGGCCCTTTGTGTGGATAATACAGTGTGACACAAGGGAAACAAAGGCGAATTGATGGGCCCAGCAGGTAGCAGGAGCAGCGCTAGCCTTGGCTAACAGCCAGAGCTCCAGGGACCCAGGACTCACAGGCCCCCATTGGGGAGGGCCCAGCTAGGCCTGCCAGGATGCACAGGATGCCCAACCTGAGGAGTCTGTGGCATCCAATCATGCAAAGGTTCACTGGGGATTTAGACAGAAACTGTATCCTTTTACTAGGAATGAGCAGTGAAAACACATTTATAGACACAGTGTAGATAGTATTGTGTTAGTTGGGTCTAATGAGATACGGTATCTAAAAATAACAGATAAGTCAACATAGGGGTGCCTTCAATTTGTAGTTTTTCAAATATTTCTGAACATAAGTAATTTACAGCACTTCAGTATCTGCACTGCATATTTGCAAGAAAAAAAAAGTAAATGTAAAAAAAGACCATGGTTTCATGCTGTGCGATATTGGCATACCATACACTAGGTGTCAGAAATAAAGCTACATAAAAAATTCTGCTTTCATTATATTAATATTCTAGCAAAAAACATTGACCCTCATGGTATCATATTATCCCTAGAGGCAAAAAACCCCCAAACAAACAAGGGGTTTTGGTTTTTTAACATTGCCTGTATTCACACTGAGGATGGGAGAACATGACCAGCCTCCAGCCACAGAATAGTAAACTGCCTGTGGTTTGTAAAGTGCTATGATTGGGTCTAGTAAGCCTGTTTGGCAGTGGTGTTACAGAGGAACGTTTGTGTTCAGCAGCCACTGTGGTCTGAAAAATACGAGTTTAACTCTCTGGTAATGTTCATACAAACTTTAAAAGTCTGAGAACACTGCTTAAGGATGCCTCCCCATACCTGTGTGCTTCTGATAGGTAACAGCTAGGAGTGTAATGGGTGAGCCACAGTAAGTGTGCTGTGATTGTGAAACAATGGAGTCTGGTTACATAATAAGCTGTTGCCTTCAAAGGAGGTGTAACTCCATCCCTCAGTGTAAAAAGAAACAGGCCGACACACTGCTAGGTTTCACCAGAAGGCCTTAGGCTCTGAACGGGGACGGGTACAAGGGGGGGGTGACAACATTCCTGAAACACTATCCAGTTGCAAAGAGGCACACCTCAGGGATGACAGGAGGCCAGTGAGAGCCCACTGAGCATTAGACCCTCCTGACACAACCACAATAGGCTGGTGTCACTGCAGGGACTCTGCTTTTAGCTTCCTGTGCATGTGCGTCCTCATCACGGATGATGATCATATGGTAAATACTGTAAACCATGTTTACATACTGAAGAGAAGGGAGGGATATTAGAATGTGTTTCAGTAGGCTTCTTGTTTTTTTCACTGGCAAATACCAGTACATAAAGGTGCCTTCTCAAAAATGAAATGTTGTGTTAAAAGGCTATGGCCTGGAGGTATCCCTGTCACTACCTCTGTGTGGATGTTGGCAGCAGCAAAGATTGCCTTGTTCATGTTTAACAAAGACTGACACACTCCTCATCTCTCTCTTTTTGTCTGTCTTCATCTGTGTCTCTCAGCTACCAGAGAGTCAGCATTTGTCCATGCTATTGCTTCAGCGGGCGTCGCGTTCGCAGTGACGCGCTCCTGCGCTGAGGGCACATCCACCATGTGCGGCTGCGACTCACACCACAAGGGACCTCCTGGGGAGGGCTGGAAATGGGGTGGCTGCAGTGAGGATGCAGAGTTTGGGGTGCTGGTGTCCAGAGAGTTCGCAGACGCCAGAGAGAATCGTCCAGACGCTCGCTCTGCCATGAACCGGCACAACAATGAGGCAGGGCGCACGGTAAACACATTCAGACAAATACGAGGAAACTACCCAGGGATGTTATGTTGCTGATTCCATGGTGATAAACAGTACATGGTTGAAAGTATTTAGACATCTGAACGTTAGATTTCAATCCAAAATTAGCTACTAGAACTTCTGGGAAAACTTTCAGAAATCTTGAGGTCACTGATGTTGGGTGATAAGACTTGACTCACTATCAGCTTTCAGTTCATCTCAAAGGTGGTAGATGGGGCTCAGGTCAGGGCTCTGTGCAGGCAAGTCAAGTTCTTCCACCTCCAAATGGGAAAACCATTTCTTCATAAGGCTGGCTTCATGCACACAAAGTTGGAAGCACACTGCTGGCTACAATATTATCATAAGCTATAGCATTAAGATGTCTGTACATTAAAATGAAGGGGTTGAGCACAAACCATGAAGAGGGCCAGATAATGTACATATTGATTAACAACACTTATCTGACAGCAGTGGTTCAATAGCTGCAAGATGTAGTGAATACCAGTAGAACTGACTCTGTTCATCAGCAACCACTGATGGGTTCATTTTGTCAGATAGTAGTGCACCACAGCACTGTAACAGATCACATTAATTGCACAACCTCAGCGCACACTGTACTGTAATGCAAAAGGTGAAGGCACAGTCGTTAGTGTTGCCGCTTCACACCAAGAAGGTTCAGGGTTCGAGCCCCAGCCGCCCGGGAGCCTTTCTGTGTGGAGTCTGCATGTTCTCCCTGTGCCTGTGTGGGTTCTCTCTGGGTTCTCCGGCTTCCTCCCACAGTCCAAAGACATGCAGCTTAGGTTGACTGGTGACTAAATTGCCCACAGGAGTGAGTGTGAGTGCGTGTGGTTGTTTGTCTACATGTCGGCCCTCTGACAGACTGGTGACCTCTCCGGGGTGGACCCCGCCTCTCGCCAAATGTCAGCTGCCCTGTCACCCTATTCAGAAATAAACGGTATAGATAATGGATGGATGGATGAAAGCGAGACCCAGTAAACAAGGGAAGGACTGGATGCATCCAAGATGCATTATTGTTGGGGACTAACTGTTCATGTGACGGGTGGGGATTTGGTATTTGACTTGTCTGCACATTTCTGGATTTCCACCTGAAAATGAGCAATTGACTTTGAATGACTGGTTAATTACTCATCAAAGCAACCTCCCGATGAAAAATTCCCCAACAGTCAAATAACCTGAGTGAGCTGAAGAGGAAAAAAAAGACAACAGCTAAGACTTAAAGCATCACTGGCTGCTGTCACCACTGGGAGAAAACAGGCTCATGGCTGCTTGCTCAGGGGCAAATAGAGGGACCACACGGCAACAAGACGGCCCTTTGATATGAGCACACCGGAGTAGCCAGAGAGACCACAGGAGCGAAGTGAACAGCAACACTGTCAGGCGTCTCTTCTCTTCTCCACCTGGCCCTCTCACGCTCCCCTATTTAGCCCAGAGGGCCTCAGGGACTTGATGTTGGCATGACAAGCTCACAGTGTGATGTCACTAGTCTATCTACTCCTCCACCCAATACCACTCTCCCCCTGCTCACCCAAAGATGCTATAGACACCTGCCTTCCGCCCCAGCTGGGGGAATTCTGCAGCTAAATATAGCTGTTGAATTACAGAACAAAATCAAAACAGAGGTAAAATGTGCCCTGCAGCAGCACTCCTGATGTGAGCCAGCAGCTTAGAGAGGATTAGCAGCAGCACAGCGCCTCTCTGCTTCACAGCTGCATGACAGTGGCACCTTGTTTTTCTTGGCATGCTCTGGGAGTGTTCAGTGGTTTTGTTGGAGATCGCCACGTTTGGTGGTGACATACTCCACCCAAAATCTACCTTTGGCTATGACACTGTCACTGCCTGAAAAGTTTGCTTCTCCCAGGAGGATGGCTGCTGAAGTCTTGAATTCACAGCCACCAAGTGTCACCCAAAGCAACTACACTCCATTATCTATACAACTGATCCTGTAGAGGGTCGTGGGTGACTGGAACCGATCCCCGCTGACACCGGGGCACAGGTGGGGTCCACCCTGGACAGGTCTCCAGTCTATCACAGGGCTGACACATAGAGACAATCACTCACGCACATTCACACCTGCAGGGAATTTAGTCGCCAACTGATCTTCTTGCTGTGAGGCAACAGTACTAACCACTGTACCACGGTGCCACCCCCCAAAGAAACTTTCCAACTTTTCTGGAGCCTAATGAACATGTAGTAGTAAAATGGTCTGTGTGGTTGAGAGGTTTCTTTGCCATGACTCTGGATCACTGCTGGAATACATTCCGACCTGACAGAGCCTGTTTCAGGGCCACCTGTCAAAGCCTGCAGGCAGCTTTTTTTGTAGAGTATAGCTTTAAAGCACCTTAAAAAAAAAGATATCAAAATGTTTGGATGCTTGCCAGATTGATGAATATCTGTGTTTTAGTTTATATTAAGTTGAATTTATAGTGCAAGTCCCTTTAGGAGATATTGTGAAAATGAGCGGAAAATATTTTTGACTGGTTTTGGCTTAAATATTCCAACAAGTTGAACATTAATGTACCTTCTTGTGTTAAATCAGACCATCCTCGACCACATGCACCTGCGTTGTAAATGTCACGGCCTGTCAGGAAGCTGTGAGGTGAAGACATGCTGGTGGGCGCAACCAGACTTCCGCATGCTGGGGGACTACCTGAAGGACAAGTACGACAGCGCCTCGGAGATGGTGGTGGAGAGGCACCGTGAGTCGCGAGGTTGGGTGGAGACGCTGCGAGTCAAGTACGCCTTCTTTAAGCACCCCACCGAGCGTGACCTGGTCTACTACGAGGGCTCGCCCAACTTCTGCGAGCCCAACCCGGAGACCGGCTCCTTTGGGACGCGCGACCGAGTCTGCAACGTGTCATCGCACGGCATCGAGGGCTGTGACCTGCTGTGCTGCGGCCGCGGCCACAACACCCGGACTGAGAAACGCAAAGACAAGTGTCACTGTATCTTCCACTGGTGCTGCTATGTCAGCTGTCAAGAGTGTGTGCGTGTCTATGACGTGCACACGTGCAAGTGAGAGGTGGGGCTGTGTTTTCAGACTGCTGGACTACAAGTGCTGCCGACCCCCCCAACCCCCCGCACGACCTCCCCCATCAGACGCTCTGCACACCACACAAAGGACATATTCACCAGCACACACACACCTGGCACACCAGTAATGAATACTTCTGTACAAACTCTGCACTAGCACCTGTCTTCCAAACCACTAGAACCATTTCCACAATATCTGACCATAACGTGATGACCTGACCTGTCATGGGAAGAAGCTAAGGCTATGCCACTTTCCCCAGGTTCCTCTCCCCTGCAGCCTCCCCTCCTCCCTGTCTTTATTTATTTCCTCCTCCATGCCAACACAATGCTTGTGTCATGTACAGTAACACTTTTTATCTGTGAGATTAATACAGTAAAAAAGAACTTTCAGAGTCTCTTTGCTTTTGAATAAAAAGCATCTTCTAACTAACACCTCACTTCTCCGGCCAGTCTGGCTGGTTTACTTTTTTTATTTTTTATTTTTAAACTAAACCAACCTCTACACCGTCACTAAGTGATACTGAACACATCAGCAGCCCCAGGAAACCATCACTTTGTAACTACTGAACTGAACTGAACTGAAAACAGCAGACAGGCAGAGCCAAGGTCCTGTCTTCTGCAAACTACTGAGCTGATGAAATCCCGTGTTGCTACTCTTTGCTGACTGACTGCACCAGGCAACTGGGAAACCTGGAAGATACACAATAGAGCCTGACTATTGTCCTACATTTCTACCGATGGGCTGAGACTAGAGGTATGCAGGGGGCATGTGTGTGAACAAGCATGCTGGTTCTACTTATTAATACCCATACACATGTATATGTATGCACTATTCAGATACACATAACTCCAGGTGGTAAAAGGCTCAGCATTGTTATGAATGACGATTTTGTTCCTGCATTCAGGCCTGATCAACCTGTAAATTGCTTATGATTTCCACAAGTGTGATGTGACAGACATGCACATTGTTCAACCCTAAGGAGCACAGTGGTGCAAACAACCTGACAAACATAGCATTCGAATTATGTGAGTGAATAGAAAACCATTTATGGCTGTTTCACTTATGAAGTTATGCATCAAATATGAGTTGAGCTTTAGCATGCTTACCATTAATTCGGGTCTTATGAGTCAATATTATGTCTGGTTGATAATATGTGATTATTGGGAGATGTTCATGGATTCTTCAGGTCCATCTTAGATCTCCAGAGTGCAGAGTAGGTTCTGATTGGCTTTCACATCCTTCCTTCCTTCTCTCCATATTTTCTGTCTGTTGGACAGATGAAGTTTCGGGAAATCTGATTTATGAATTTGACCCTTGTCAGTACTTCCCAAAACATTTTCACGGTTGTCAGCCCACTTTAGTCTGACTGGTAATGTCTTAAGTCATTTCAAAGATTACCAAGGAAGGTTGCGACTTCTGGGTGGACAAAGACTTCCAGCTCATGTAAATGCTTGAATCCTAACTGCTGGAGTCAGCTGAGAAACTTCATCAGGAACTGGATGATTTATGTGTAGATATTTGTGCACAAGGCAGCAGCCAATGACAAACACAAGTGGATGGTAAAATGGATGGAGGGATAGTTCTTCATACTGGTGGAACAAACTGTGAGGGGTTTCCACACAACATATTCTGACAATCCCATCAGCTTCCTATTAATTTTACTCAACAAAAACACAGTACATTACCCACTAGTGTGTAGCCTGTCCTCTTTGTAACGTAGCTTAGCATGTGCATCATCATCTACACAGCCCTCCCTACCTGGGCCTATCTTTCTGTGTTCAGCCCTCCTCCAACCCCCACACCTACTTCATCTGCTATATCCAAAGTTTTGTACAAATGTTTTAAAGTGAATAATTCCCTTTTTATTTTATAATCGTAAATGTTATGTTTTTATAAATATTATTTATTATACAATGTATATATCTGTATGACTGAACTAAGATTATATATTTGAAGAACAAAACTGTCTCCTGCTTTTTGCTTCTCAGGAAGAGGTGCACACTGCTAAAATAGACTAAATGCTCAGTGCATAATAAAAAGTCTGATATCTAGAACCTTTAGAAGTGCATGAACAAAGATTCTCCACAGTCTGATAAACCAAGTGACAATGGGGCAGGACGTGGTGTCCGTTAGCTTCACCCCCCACCCCCATGACCCTCTGCTGCCTACAGTCCTCCCCTTGCTATTCCAGCTTCTCTACCCTGTGTTGTCAAAGTACGGTCTGTAAATCAGCCCCATTGAGGTGATCAATAAGAAAACTAGAGAACAGCCCTTAACATAAACATGCCTGGCATAAAGTAAACAAGAATATGAAATATTACTGATAATTTAATTTGCATTACACAGTGATACAATCACATCACAATCATCCTGAAACAACATATTTGCTACTTTTGATTAATAACTCGAAGATGGATTCATTTTTCTCAGTGTACAGAGACATGTTGCAGTAGCTACTTGCTAAATGACTGACAGCGATTTCTTGCCGAGTTGTAGAATCATTGGTCAACACAGATGCTGTGGAGGTTAACCTCAAATATCTGAGTATGTTCATCTCATTATAAGATGATGCACTTCTCATAACTATGCTAGGTTACAATTCCCAGACACTTTCTTATGACTTCAACATGTCATAATTATGAGGAACACTTGATAATGAAGATAGCTGGCAGATTTTCTTCGAACAAAGTGAAATCTTTAATCATGGAGCCACCCTTGTCCTGGAATGATCAGATTACAAATCTGTGCATACAAATAAGGCCTATATAAACAGTTAGTGTTTGTGCATGCATGTCTACTTGGCATAGAAATGTTGTTTTTTTTCTTTGTCTCTTTTATATGGTAAGTCCCATTGGAGTGCTGGGGACATCGCATAGACATCACAGCACTAGTCTTCAGAAACGTAATATACAGATACCACAAACACCACTCATTCCTCTTATGTGACATGTTCACACAGTGCTGAAGAGGAGGATGCTGCCTGGCTGGCTCTGCTGCAGAAAGCTGCAGTGCAGAAGTGCTCAGAGCTTCGGGGAGGAAAGGAAGGATGCAGAGAGAGAGATGGAAACTATCTCTCATTTGCTTCCTCCTGCCAGCCTCTTTCAGGCTTCTGTTCCTCGGCAACTGACTGAAGAGAGACAAATATAAGTGAGAAGAGACAGGCAGGCAAAGGAGACATGCTGCCACAAGAGAGCACCTGTCTATTTGACCTATTTTTAGGCAAGCTGTGCACTAACTATATCATAACTCTCTGAGGCTGTGATGAGAAGCAAAGCTCTCACTGTAGCTGAAAGCTGAAAAGTTGTTGTTCATCACCCTGGGCAGCCTGTCTTCCTACGCATTAGCAAGGCAGCCACAGAATTTTAAAAAGAGAAATATCTGCTCAAACTTTGCCCTTTTTGGCCCATACCAACATGCGAGAATGAATCATAGTCACAATGATTAAATGTTTTACAGGTTCAGAGCAGAACACCTGATATTCAGAACAAGAATTTCACAGTTACAAGACAAATGTACCGGTCTTCTTTTGTGAAATTCCCATCTGACACCAACAGGGAGTGTGCATATAGTTAATGTTTTATGCAATTACTGTGCCATCATATGACTGAAGAAGATAAAAAGTCACTGTGGACATCAATACAGTTATATCCTACAGTATCTCCACAACGGAAGTGTTTGTACTCTTTGTTTGGTGCAAGAAATAGTATTTTGAGGCTATAAATTACAAACTGAACTCACAGGAAATGCTGAGTAGAAAACATGACCTGATGCAGGCCTTACCTCTTCCTCACTGTGTGGCTCCACTGAGACTAGATTACAAACTTATTAGAACCCAGTCTGCAGGAAAAGGGAAAATGTTTAGAATTAATCACACTTAATACAATAATCCACATGTAAACTCTTTGTGCTTCTGACTTGGTTTTCTTTTCTGCACAAGTGACAGATCAGTGACTGGCGATGCTGTTTTGCTCTAAGGAGTCATGATTAAGAACAGGAAAAGAATACTCACGTTCCTTCATCCTCTAGTAGACTCAGGAACTTGCTTACTCTGTGGCCAGAATCCATCTAAAACACAAACACATTACTTCTGAGTGAATACATGCACACAGTCAAATAACAGTACATTTACAAATAAATCTTATTTCCTTGTTGAACAAGCACCGATTTCATTTAAAATTTAGAAGCAACACATCAGAGCAATATGATGTACCGGCAGGTCCTGCAGTTCAAGGTTCAGTTTGTACAAATAGGACTCCAGAGAAGGGGAGGGCAGAGGAAGTTAAATTACCGGCAACCTATACAATAACTTATAGTATATCTGGAACTGCCTGTAGCTACCAGAGTGAAGCGATGAGAGCAGTCAGCAACGTTGGAATGAGATGAGAAAAGATAAAGAGAAAAGTGAAGATTAACTCTGTATGTGTACGTGTGTAGCTGTTTGCAGCATGTCTCGGCAAACACGGGTTCATACTTCCTCAGGCTCGGGACAGGGTGTGAGGGGCTACAGGGTGCAGAACATGGCTGCATTAGTGCATACCACAGAAATTACACAGCATCCAGTCTCAACAACCAGGCTGTACACATCATCGACACATCACAGACACAAAGTCAAGAGGAGAAATTAACACCAGCCTGCAGTCAGATTTAGGTCAGGTTCTGCTGCTGCTTGCTGCAAGTAAACAAGCATTATTTGTAACCATGGAGCTTATGTTTTAGATGGACTAACACAGGCATGGGCCACATACAGCGCCTGCAGTCAGTTAATCTGGCCCACCAAACTTGTCCAAATTATATTATTAAATTATGTTATCATTAAACCTCATTCGTTTTGCCTTTTCCCTGCAATGCCCGCGTTTCCCCCAGTAGATGGTAGATCACTGCATCATTCATCAGGAAATCTCTGTGTAAGTCTGTATTGCATCTTAATCATGTCGTGAATCCAGTTGTAAAACTTGTTAACTGTATACGAGCAAGGAGACTTCAGCACCGTCAGTTCATTACGTTCCTGGAGGAAACCGATGCGGATCACCAGGACTTACTTTACCATTCTCGTGTCCGCTGGTTAAGTTTGGGCAAAGTGTTTCAACGAGTGTTGAAGATGCTGGCGTTGTTTGGCTCGACCTATGTGTGTGAGCAGACGTTTAGCGCCATGAACATCAACAAAGCCAGTCACAGATCCATGTTAACTAACCAGCACCTCAGATCTATCCTGAAAAGAGCCACAACAAAACTAACTCCAGACTTTGTCTCCCTTTTTAGCCAGTGCATCAAACAACACTATTCCCACTGAAATTGAAGGTTTATTTCTCTACTGTGTTATGAAAAAATGCATTTGGAGAATAATTTGTACAATAAGCCTTGCATATTCATGCTTTGCTACCTGTTAAAGGGCAAAGCCTTTTATGTAATGGCTTTTATATTAGTTCACACAAACACTCCATCCTTCTGTTCCTGGCCCGACCCCTCTGTCAAATTTTAGAACCCATTGTGGCCCGAGTCAAAAAGTTTGCCCACCACTGGACTAGCCCCTGTGGGGTGGTTGATCATAAAGTACAGTAAATGGAACAGTTAGAATCTACCGTGGCAATCAGGCCTAAGTCAAGCTCTACCTGAAAAATGTCTTTCAATCCCAGTTCACATCCGACAAGTTACAGTAATGTAATGTTGCACATTCATGATGTTGGGGAATTCTGCAAGAAACCGTTTTAAAACATAATCGATGCTGCACAGACAGAAACATCATGGCTGATATGGGTCAAGTGCCAAACTCACTGGCTTCTACACTTCCCATTATGTAGTGTCAGCACATGTAAAACTATACATTTGTGCAGCGAACTCACTTCTTTTCAGTGGAATCACCATGACACAAGATGTCATGTAAAACTGGTGGACAACTCCAAACCGGACTAGTGGCATTGTCAGGTGAGATGTCATTTCCTGCTTATATCTGTGTGGACTAGTGAAGACCTGTTTGCTTCAGGTCACAGAAAGTCAACCCTCCGTCTCCTCTGAGGAAATGTGACAAAGGCACAAGACATCTGGTTTGTGTCGAGAATTAGGGATAAGGTCTTCAGAATTAGTGCTGCGGTTACGGTGCCACGTGTTTCTACACTGGCACAGAAGTATTTCACTCTTCTTTTGCACTGCACTTGTTTTTGAAGAGATGAGGACTAGCAGAACTATAGCCGCATTTATGCTATAGGTGATTAATGTAGAATAATGTTTTCAATAAACTCCATAGTGTTGGAAAAGCTAAACAAATGGGGCAACAACCATGACTGTTTTCAAGAGAAAGGAATTATTTCCTGATGGAAAGAATGAAATTAAAGTCTCCTTTAGCCCAGTGCTGTTTCTGGGACAGTGATGTGTGATTATCTCCATTTCTTACAGAACCAATCAAAGTGATTGTCTCAATAGTTTAATTTAATTGAAGCACGGGGCAAACAGAAAACACACAAAAATCTCAACTGGGCCAATAACATAATTCTAGGCCAAACCACAAAAGCCCTGAAGGTAACTTTAAAAGGTGAGTGGGCTACTTTTCTATGTACAGGCAACTGGTGTGTTGAAAGGAAGCCAAGATTCTGCTACGAGTTTCCACAGATGGAAAAACACAGGCATGCATTTTAAACATGACTGTGTTTTTTTAACCTGCCCCATCTACTAGCCTCCGAGATGACCGTTTGAAATTTTACATACAACAAAACCATCAAGTGTGTATGACTGTTCTTATGAGTAGCTTCCCTCTGGTTCAGAATATGTGAATGTGACCTGAAAAGCTACACAGTACATGGTTTCATAACTATGAATGTTCCAGATCTTGGGCGTTTTGGAGAATGGTTTGTGAACTACAAATGTACCGGATCTTTCTCCTCAACAAATCATCAGCAAAGCCACACTGTTTTTCATTCCAGATAATAGATGACAGTTTTTGTGACTGCTGAGAATGCCAGCCAGATGTTGAGGAAGAGGGGGGACAGGCTGCTCGAGCTCAGACCATGCTATTAGGAAAAACAACAGTTCTCAAGCCGGGCCAGTTTGAAATGTGTGTTTTGAATAAAAATGGGACGAGTCAGTTACTGAAAACACAAGACTGCTTTGCGCTTAATTTACATAAAGCCAAGTCTACTTGAGCGTTCTGTCATTTAACAGCACCATCACACGGGGAGTTGAGTTACATTTATCACAGGAAGACAGGGAGCAAAAAGAAGATTTCTTTAAATTTTTGAAGAGTGGAATAAGACTAAGGGTCAGCAGCCATGCCAGCAGCTCTGTTAGGGTGTCAGTGTGCTAACCTGCCCACAATAACAACCTTGCCATGCTGATGTTTAGCAAGTATAATGTTTACCATGTACACCATCATTGTTTAGCATGTTAGCATGCTAACAGGTGCTGATTAGCACAAAACACAAGTAAAAGCTGAGGATAATGAGGTTGTCATTAATTTTGCATGTATTTGGTCATAAACCAAAGTCAGTAAAGTGACTACAGTTCGTCCTCAGGGGGACATGACGACTAATCATGGTGGTGTTGACACTGTAACATGACGCTCTAAAATCTCCCATAGGTGTTCAGCTGGGTTGAGATCTGGTGACTGTGAAGACCACAGCATCTGATTCACATCATTTTCATCCTCATCAGACCAGTCAGTGGCCCCTTGTGTCCTGTGGATGGAGGCACTGCCATCCTGGAGGAGACCACTCCCATCAGGGAGTCAATGTTTCATCATAGGACTAAGGGGACAAGAGGACCCAAACCATGCCAGCATCTGTTCTTCCACTCAGGTTTTTCCTGTAATTTGTCTACAGGTGAGACATTTTAGTCTTGAAGAAAATGGCTGACCGATCGACAGGCCAGGATATCCACATTGCCCATCACCACAGCCATTCTGCTAACACGATTAAAAATGTAAAAGCAAAGAAACTCTCACTTTCTCACCTGTGCAGCCATTTCAATCAGCATGAGCAACTTTTTTATGCCAATCTGCAGCATTTTCCCCCTCAAAGCTTTAGCTATGGTGTCCCGCTCTTTCTGGAAACTGCCCAACTGCTGTGGGGAGCAGAGAAAGAAGAACCATGAGCATGGGATTTAAACAGGTTCACATTTTCTTTAAATTAAAAAATGCTGTCACAGTATAATAGAATGTCTAACAACTTCTCTGACAAAGTAAACATCAATCTTGAAAACAGCGACTGGTTTGACTGCGTGAATTCAGCACATGCATGTTTAGTGCATGCATTTGCTTTGGTGCAAGTTACCTCCAGGGCCTCAAGCAGCTCCTTTTCACTTGAGATGTTGGGAATGTGGATGATGGTGCTGAACGCGTTTAGCATCTCCATTTCCTGGAGGACGTCTTTACGACTAGTGGTGCCGATGATCAGCAGCTTACGGCCCTGGAAGAAATGCAGATATAAGAAGTAATCAAAATGAAAATTCTTTACCGTCTTTAGGGGCAGTGTAAGCTGGAGTTTATATTAGCATAGCTATGTTATTTATTATGTTATGGACTTGCAATGACCCAGCCCACAAGAGTTACAGTATAAGAAACCAAAAATATGTTTCCATCCCACATGTAACAGTACAATGCAAACAAAGATTAATGTCCCCCAGTCATGAATCCAGTCAATGAAAAGTTCAGATCATCGTATGATGTAAACTTTTTACTTATCTGTTTATGAACAACAGACAGTGACATGAGAGAACAACAGCGATAGAGGGGCACGACTCCAATCATGACACCAGAAACCTGTTACAGATTCTGAATATAACATTCGTTCTCACATTAACCAGAACAAAACCTTGGTAATTCAGCTAACTTCTCCATCACCAGCTGGGAAATGATGTGTCAAAAGGCCATAATCAAACCTTTGTGCATTTAAAAACCATGAACTGAACTAAACCTTGTGTTTTGGTTCTAATACCAAATTAAAAAGATAGTTTGGCAGGTGAGAAGAGTTCATTAAAGTCATGTGTCACTTCTTCCATAGCTCAGTGGTGTAACTTTTATCATGGGGTGCAGCTATTTTTAACCGGTTTGCACCACTTCATCTTAAGGTTTCCTCTCTTAAGTGTTACCATTACACAGTTATTGCAAAGGTGAGAGTGCTGTCTGTGTAATGCATTATGGATGTAAATGTGAGCTTTGGGTATGACTGTGGATTCTCTGTATTTATTTGTCTAATTTGAACAATGAACCAGATCAGAGGGGAAAGAAGGGAAGAGGAGAGACAAAAGGGAGGGAATGAGGAGAGAGAAGCACAGTAGATAACAACAGAAGAGACAAGAACAGAAGACTAACATGAGCAGAGGAGAAAGGAGAGAAGAAAGGAATTGTAGCTCCACTAAGCCGATGAGCTGGAGAAGGCCCAGGAGAAGAAGACGAAGGAGGAGAGGCAGAAGAGTGGCAAGTAGACGGGGGATTATGGCTGCCCCCCTATGGCGTGGGGGGTTGTGATGCTGCATGCAGATGAGGTGCCACACAGGCGGCGGTGCTGCCAGGTCCTGGCTCTCTCACAGAGCCCATTCTCCTCCGTGTCCCCCTGGCCTCCCCCGGCCCCAGGCACCCTGCTGGGCCCAGCGCTTTACAACCCCAGAGGAGCACTGCAGCCAGGCATTCAACACCAGGCCCCGCACCACTTCTTATGCACATGCAGCCATATAGTGGGCTATACTCTCATTCACAAACCCATCAACAACAGACACACACAAACTATGAGAAATGGGTCTCTACCACCACCATTCACTATGAGCACAACAGGCCAGGACCACAACACTGGCTAATAACCATACACCCACATGCAGTTGCTCACGCATGCCAAAGACTTCCAACAACTCCTCACAAGACACTGGCATGTGTAAGATCTGCTGCCCTCTTTCTGCCACATAAGGACTAGCAACGCCACACTGAGGACGTTTTGTGTTCATCACCTTTGGAGGAGGTTTCTTCAGTAACACAAGCAAAGCTTGTAACACCAGGTTGGAGAAACGAGGGCCAATTGGCACATAGTCTGTTGAGAGAGATAATTTTTAAATCAGCAATTTTCATGTTAACACTGATTCACTACTTTTGAATTCCAACTTCAAATACAAAATTAATTCAACGCATCAACAGCTGAATACCAAACACTGCTTTTTGATGGGGAACTTACCCAATAAACGTTCAATGTCATCAACTACAACACAGCTCAGCTGGGACTTGTAGGCGTCTTCAAATATCTATCAGAGAAAAACAAGATGCAAACTGGTCTGGATCAAACAGTTATTGATACCAGTTAAATGTGCAGAAAGTTGGCTGACCATTCTTATGGAAGCACAGTATTCAGGTTAGCTAATGTTCTGACCAATCACTGGGCTACATCGTGGGTGTCAGGCTGTGCCATCATGGGCCCCATTGTCTCAGCCTAAGCTACAGTACCTTACAACTACATACTATTAAAGCTGCCTTTTCCACTTTACCCTCACCCAGACAAAGAGTAAACACTCAGCAGCTTGACCCAGTCTCACATCTCCACTGTATTTGCTTGCGTTACCTTTTTGATGGCTTGACATTTGGCAATTTCAGAGTATCCAATCATCTTGTCGGGGGAACAGATCTGGATAAACGGGAACTGGGAGTCTTCAGAGATCTTAGCTGCCAATGCCGTCTTCCCACTGTTGGGTGGTCCTGAGATTAAAAAATAATCACAAATCAATTATTTGCAATAATGCAAATCATTTTCCCAGACTGTCAGAGTTTAGATAATCACAACTGACAACTTTCACACAGGCTGCAGTTGCTATGTTAGGGTCTATGGGTTTATTGGGTGTTTAACTGTAGAATGCACTACTTACGATGTTAGCTGTTGAGTTGCATGAGGTTAGTGTGTGTCTTACCCTCCAGCAACACAGAGACCAGCGGTGTGCGATCACTGTTTTTCGTCTGCTGCACCAGCAGCTCTCCATCCTGCAAGGCCGCTGACACTGGGTTCCCCCACCGGATGATGCCGTTCATAATATAGCTGGCATAGTCCTCCTGGTTGGAACCGTACGCCTGGAGAGGAAAGAGGAAGAGAGAGGAAAACAGAAAGCCAGGTTAGTATGTCCTCCAAGAAATGGAGATGTTAAACATCATTAAATGCATTCAACATAAATACATTACAAAATATTTATGTATTTGGATATATAACCATGGTTTATATTGAAGTAGGAGACAGACATTTTTAATCTCTTTAATCTCTGAAATACTTAGTATCTTTATTGAATGAGGTCCTGTTTAAATTGTTTAGTTTGCATAATTAAAACAACACAGATATGCAATAATAAAACCAAATGGACACGTGGGAGAGGATTATTAAGTATTGTGCTTGTTTTAACAAAATCTATTTGACACAGAATTAGAAGATGATAAAAACAGAGTGATGTAGAGCAACTTACAGGTTTGATGTCATTATTCAGTGAAGCCATGAAGTCATGTCTGCTGACCTGCAGCATCTCTGCCGTCTCGATGTTGACCTCCACTGTGCTGCTGGCCTGTAAAACACCAAACACAGTACAAGTTGAGAGAGAGCAAACAACTGGACGCTTTCATTAATGGATGAACTCCATGCCCTTGCTGGTTAAATCCATTACATGAAGTATTGCACATTTAGATTTGTGACAGAACAACGTGCTGCCTCAAAGCAGAAAGGTCAGACAGAGGAGGGAGGGAAGAAGGCCCTTGTCCATCATTTATCATCACCCTCCAATATCTGCTACTCAGTGTGTGTCTGACGAGGCAGAACACTTAACAGATGAGAACTTATCTGTGTGTCCCACTGAGTTGTGTTGATTTGAACCTATGCACCTGATAAAACACTTAAGGGTACACACAACCACACACCTGGGTTCTGCACACAGATGTTTCTCACCTGGATGGCTACTTAAACCAACACTGTACAGTACACTGTAATATACCATGTTCACCAGGACACCAGGAGTGTGGCCTATACGTAAAATCCAGCACAGGACAATGGTCTTGTCAGTGCTTTTAAAGAAATACTAAACACACTACTACTACTAATAGTGTCAACTGTTAATACAAGATGAAATATATGACTAATTTTAGTTTGAATCTCAAGATTTCTTTTCTCATTTGACTCAGAACAGCAGTGGATTAATGTAATTTGAGCAAAGTAGTGTTGAAACAATGAGTCAATTCATCAATTGGTCGATCAAGAGAAAATTAATGAAAATAATTTTAGTAACTGCCAAATTGTTTGTTATTTATCAAAATGAAACAACTATCATCTATGAAATGCAGCACATTCACTGCTTTAGTCTCTCGAATGTGAAGATTTGCTGCTTGTTCCTGTTTGATACTATGATAAAACAAAACAAGCCACCTGAAGATGAAGGCCGATCAGAAAAAACAGACAGATAAAGCAATGAACGAAAGACCTGATTCATAGAATTCCTCCTCACCCTTCATTCCTCCAGTCACAAAAAGTACTGAGCATACAGAGTATAACGGTGAGTGCTCTGACCTTAATATGTCTGTTCATAGCATTGGACTGTGCAGCCCTGACCAGACCCTCCAGCTCAGCACCACTGTAGTTTTTGGTCTCCGTGGCCAGCTCTCCTATGTCTACATCCTCCGCCAGCAGTTTATTCTGACGCATTTTTGTTGTGTGGATGTTGAGGATCTGAACGCGACCCTTCTCATCCGGTAAGCCTAACAAAAGAAAGGGAAATTTCAAACTTCAGCAAAAATAATTTCCATGTGTTAAAACTTTAATTTATTTCAGGAAAGTTTTCTTGTCCATTTAAGGTGTTGTGTGTCTGTACTAGTCTACCGTGAAGAAAGAAAAGTCCCGTGTTAAGGGTGTGAAGCAGCCAAGTGGCCACTAAGTAGCTGGTCTTAAGTGGCTGAAGTGCAATGATTAAGAATATGAAAACATGTCTGGATTTATTTTTTCTCCCTCCCCTAAATTAAAGGAAAAGAACAGCTGAACGTTTGTATTATTAAAATACTCAAATAATTTTTGGCCTACTGCTAAAGCAAGAGTATCTTCACTCTGATTCAGGGCTTATCCTGGGATAAAACGAGATAAACCATGTGGAGTTAACACCTGGGTGAAACCTTATCTGTGGGGTCCTTGACTTCTTACCTATTTCCATCTTCACCTCGAGTCTTCCAGGCCTCAGCAAGGCCTCATCTATCAGGTCAGGCCTGTTGGTCATACCTGAGGGAGAAACAGATGGACAGATAGTGGGAAGGAGAGCAAACACAGGATGAATGAGAGACATGAGATACAGTGCAGATGTTTAGGGATGATACTGGAGTCAAACATCTTTTAAGAGTTATTACTTTGGGTAAACATGAGGAAAAAGTAAATTCAGGTGTGTATGTTTGCACCTATGACCAGAATGTTATTAAGTTGCTCCACTCCATCTATTTTAGACAGCAACTGGTTGACCACGGTGTCGTGGACTCCTGTGCTGCCTGCCATGCTGCCACGCTGCTTACAGAGAGCATCAATCTCATCAAATATGATCATGTGAAGACCACTGTTGGCACCGAGCTGTCAGACAGAAAGAGGAGCAGGAAAATGAAAGACAGAAAGAAAGAAAGGTTAATGAAAAATGAAATAAAGAATTCTGACATTATTTGTGAAGTTAACTATTAAAAGCAGTAGCACTGGATTATGACACTTTGTCAAGATTTAAAAAAATTCAATTTGACACAAAATCAAATTATTGTTCTGGTCAATATCATTCTTTCTGAGAAATGAAAAGACAAAGACAGTGCCAGTGGTTTTCTTTCAGTCTTGACCCTTAACAGAGACAGATGGAAAAAGTGAGAGAGCAGCAGGGTGGGGGGTTATCCCTCCATCTACAGACCTGCCAGTCTCAGACAGCATTTAAAGCAGGTGTGGAGCTGTCCTTATAACACACACTGGACAGTGTGTGTGTGTGTGTGTGTGTGTGTGTGTGTGTATAAGGAGGTATAATAGGAGGTCACACAACCCAGGCCATCATTAGGTGGTGAAGAGTGAGGCTGACGCTAGTGTCTCACTGTCCAAATCAGCCATCACCAACCACACACACACACACACACACACACACAGAGAAACACACCAGAATGGTACCAGTTATTAAGGCTATGTCTGACTAAAGGGCAGATCTCTCCACTCCTACAGAAATTAGCTTTTGTCTATTTAGACAGACAGAATGCTTATCTGTATTTCATGGGGATAATGGGAGAATACCCCCATTGAGAACAGACTCTGAACAAAGCTGGTGCCTTTTTTTAGTTTAGCAAAGATGTAGCATGACTGGTAACGTGTCTAAAAGTTGGAATAAAACAGGTTCGTTTTTCAAAACGTGCTGCATGTGGAGTTTTCACTGTTGCTCCGCTGTGGTATTTTGACTGCGCTATAAACTCTACAACTACTACAAGTTCTTGCATCATGAAAGCAGTCTTTAATATATCATAATACAAGAGTGACCTTCTGGCTTATAAAAAGGACAGACACTTGTGCATTAATGCATCCAACCCTCACCCTCTTCTGTTCGTCCTCTGCCTCGGCAAACAGCTTCCTAATGTTGGCCTCAGACTCTCCGACGTACTTGTTGAGAATCTCGGGGCCGTTGACGATTTTTGGCTCCCGGGCCTTGAGCATATTACCTATCTGCCGTGCCATCAGGGTTTTACCACATCCTGGGGGGCCGTAAAGCAGGATTCCCTTTACATGCTTACAGCCTGGAGACAGAGGCAACCAGAGAAAAGCTGATGTCAAACCAACTGTTCATTCTTACAGCAAGAAACATATATACAGAGACATGTTTCTACTAGTTATAAAACTCAAGTCTTTATTAATTGTAGGCAGGACTTCTTCTCTCATATTTCTGCAGTAGCTATCCCCTTTTGTGTGAGCCAACATTTAAGGAAAATAAGTATCACACAATGTAATCTGGTGCACTGAGCAAGAGAAACAGTGACTGCAGGGACAAAATTTTCCTCTAGTGAAAATGCAGTTCTGTAAAAATCAATAACTGGCTTTGGCTCCGGATTCTGCTGTGTGTCTTCATAAAAGGTGTGCCCTTCTGTGTTATGTTAATCGGTGTGATGAAGACCAGTGTGCTCCAAGTATTGTTCAGTTGTCTGTGGTGATAATGAACAGTGTAGAGCGGGTCACTGAACTCCCAGTTGCTCCCGGTGATGTCACTGGTGTGTGAATGTTTGAGTGGGTGAATGGCCAAGCGCTTTGAGTGTGCTGCAATGCATAGAAAAGCGCTATACAAGTATAAGACCATTTCACTGTCCAGACTTATTGCAAAATGGAAACATGTGGTAAAGAAGACCAAGGCACAGTAATTTACACAGATTGAGTATATAAATGCACAGATAACACCAGGCTTATAATTGTTCTCATCACAGTGCTTCTGACTTCTTTGTGTTATTCTGTGTCTATTAACATCCAGTGTCAATGCTACAGGCTCTCCACCCAACCCAGTTTACAGTGTGACTCATTTAACTGACTCTTGCACCTGCTTAATGACATTTAGCCCAGACTAATTGAGAGGCCCAGATAACCATCTGAACTGCCATTTGGGCCTGTTGAAGGAAAAGCAGCCAGGATGACAGGTGGGGGTGGAGGGAAGAAGGTGGGGAGATGTGATGTGGGTGTGTTGGGGTCTGGCAGAGAAAGCACTGAAGCTTCTGTCTGTCTGCTCCACCTCTTTGAAAGCAAAGGGGAGATGAAATTTTTAAACTTTTACTTGAGCACACACACACACAACATGTGTAATGTACACTTGCACAACTCTCTGTGAGCACCTGCACCCCATGCTCCCCATGCCTGCCAGTTACACCTTCACCTTTACCTGGATCCTGTATCAGGGTATGTCATCTCATTACAGCCGCCAGCTGGCGGCAGCCAAATGCCGACTCCTGCACACTAACGCCCAGCTAAAGGTCGCTCACACACACTGCTGGACGCTGCCACAGGCCCTGAGCACTGCACACCAGATCTAAGTAATGTGCTTGTTTGCCAAGCTCACGTCCATACAGCAGGTTTTCACAAGACTTCTAGGTCTAGGAGCAAGGATTAGGTCTGATATGATTGTGTGTACATGTGTGGGAGGAGAGGGTTTTGTGTATGAGTCACAAAAAGACTCCTGAACTGCTGTCCTTTGAAAAGTGAATCATCACTGTAATCTGACAGCTGTCAAAGATCTGTTGAGTGTGTGCAGGGTTCACTGTCAGGGGATGCCAGAGGTTTTAGCCACAACGCCACAGAAGAACATTGTCTTGCCTATGAATTGTTGATTGTGAGTTTTGCTGATTCAGGCAATGAAACATTTCTCAAAGGAATTATTCAAAGTTTTGTTTGCCATAAAGTTGATGTAAGGATTAAACATAATCTGAATAATAACTGAAAACAGTGATTATATTTGGCAGTTATTATCTGTTTAATACTGGAAGATGTATTAGCATCTCTGAGAGAGACAACAGAGTCCCATTGCTCATTGTTGGCATGTTGAGGAGGGGCTCCACGTAAATGTCCTCACACTGATTATTTCAGCCATGTCTGATAAAAGGGACATTTTGAAAGGAATGATTCTGAAATACTTAGTTTGGTTGATGGGCCTCTTTAAAGTTTGAGAGTGGCCCTACAAGATTTTCAGTAAGGCAATTCCGGAGACACTAGTTTCACCAGAGGCAGCCACTTGGTGAACCTGTAGATGATGAGTTGACCCTCACTGCTGGGGAAAGGCTTTAAAAAAAAAAAAAAACTCGCCCCCAGAGCTGGTTAGTTTTTGCACATTTGATATGTGCATATCTGACTGTAGAAATCTTTCTTTAACTGAAGCCTTCAGACATACAAATAAGCAAGACTTTCCATAACTAACACACAATCTTATGAAATGATCATCTAACTTGCAGCAAGTGGAAGACCAGGCACAAACAAATGAATAAGTGAAGCTGGGACAGACAGGGAGAAAGCGAGGTGCTCACCCATCTGTTCTACTAGGTCTAGAGGGAAGACTCTGGAGGCGAAGGCTCTACGGAAGATGTCAGAAAACTCCTTGTCAAGGCCACCGATGCCCATCTTCTCAAAGTTCCAGTCTGGACTGATGATAGACTGGCGAGACTCTCGGGTCTTGGCCTTCCCTGGAAAAAAAAACAAAACAGAAAACCTGTTTCCCAAAGAGCATTTCCCATCAACCGTTAGGTATACAGTGGTGCACTTTATCCATCTCTTCTAATTATTACTAGAGGATGCTGCAAGGGTAAGGATTCCACAAATAAATTCCAGTAGTGAAGTTTATATGATGCATATCACCTGCGCAAAAATTAGTCGAGTTCAAGATTTTAAAATATTTGTATTGTTTTTACCAATAAAATATTGCTTTAGTCAAACCATCAGGATATTTTCCATTTAACCCTCGAGCTAGTGGCGTGGTTGTACTGCCAACAAAATGTGTGAAGTGCACCTCCTTGTGGTGTTATTGAGAATTGTCCTAAAGACTATGTAATGTAAAAACACTCTTCTTTCTCTCGGTCATCACACCGGCTTTAGTGACTGACTGTTAAAGGGAGATTAGACCCCCCAAATTTTTCTAACAATTCATAATTACTTGAGATATAGTTTTTTTTCCAGTATGTGAAAAATAGCAAAGTGTTCTAAAAACTGTGTGTGCTGCTGACACTCACCAACCAGGTTTATGGATGAGCTCTCTATATATATATGTGTGTGTGTGTGTGTGTGTGTGAGAGAGAGAGAGTGTGTAAGAAAAATCCAGTAACAACTGCAAAACTGCACTTGAACTACTCACACAAGGTTTAATTAAACTGTGATCATTAAAGTTAATGACTTTCATGCTATATAAAAGCCTACAAGGTGTGAACATCACTGTGACAGATTATTCTCCAGTTACCTTCTGTTTCATGCTAGAGGCCTGTCCTGTCTTTAAGACGGTGGGGTCCATGGCCTCAGTATCCTTTATTAGCAAGCTAAACAGCCTGTCACCGAAACTAAACCCCAGCTAGAAATAAAATAAGGAAGACAAACATTTTAATTTCTCCATCAAATCTGATCACAGATTAACAAGCATACAAACACATTTACCCAAAGCAAGTGCAACAAATCTCACTAAGCTTAAAACTCCTTTTGAGTGTTTGTGTTTTCACATACATTTTCTCCTAACATGTACTATGAACAGAGACCTCCATAGCTATAAGCCTGAGGTTGCTTTTAAAACACTTGAGGTCCTGAGCACCTGCTGCCCAATGCTGAAGGCCTGGTTATTGAATTGCTGGAGGAACTTGCTGGCCATCATTTCCGTGTCATAAGGGCTGCTGTCCACAGTCTTCTTCTGCAGGAAGTCTATCTCCGCTATCATGGTGCTTATGCACTGTCTGGTCTTGTCAAATACATAGTTGGTTACTACAAAAAGGAAAGAATAACACATGGTGAGGTTTACAGTTAATGACCTGGATCATTTCTGTTGGAATTGTTATCCAAAGAATGTCCAAATCCCACTGTGTTTCCTCGTTTTCTGTGCGTATGTCTCTATGTACAACAGCTCTCACATTGCACTCAGCCCTTTGATGCTTTATTTTGAGCAGCTTTAAATTTGAATTAGTTTCAGTACACAAACGTGTGTGGCATGAGCAGAGCCTTGATCTCGCTCTATTTCACTTTTTCCAATAACCTACTAGCATTTTTAATAAAATATTCTATTCTACTGTTGTAACAATTCACTGATCAATCTTGTGCTGCCCTCCTGGTCAGGTCACCCTTGAAAAAATGTCAGTCTCAATGAGGCCTCACCTGGTTAATGAAAAGATACTGACCCTAAGCAGCTGTAGTCCTACTTCACAAAAACACAATCTGCTGCCTTTTAATTAACATTTTTAATGTGTCATAATAACTGAATACCACACAGAGCTCAATAGCATATCCATCAGTATCTCTGACATGTAAGGTCTGATTAGGGTCAACTAGACACTAACCAAACAGTAGGGTCTAAGCTCATTAGTACATTTGGACTGGTCACCAAATCAATAACTCCTTGTTAGTGAGCCATTACAAATGAACAGTGTTTCTTGATGCTCTAATCTAGAAAATACAATCTGCACCACAGCAGGCAGTCTGTGATTTGGATATGATCTGTGGTACAGTTTTACTAATCAAATTGTCTGCATGTCTTCAAACTGCCGCTAATGCCTCATTGTGCAGATGGAATACACTGTACACAGCTTGCTTCCAGACTGTGCTGATATTTCCACTGTTGCCAGGACATTATTCACATCCCAGTTACCAGACACTGCTAAAACATTATATCAATTTACAAAATCATTTTTATATTTACGTTTTCAATCACAGGCTTGAAAAAACAGGACACACGCTGACAGGTCATTGAGAGTCTTTAGATCAAATAATAAAGACTCCTGTCTTTGCTGGGTGTTTTTTCCCAAAATGACATAAAGAAAGATAAAGGTAACATTTTCATTCAGAGGGTTATATTTTCATTCCTCCTTTTCATTCCTGATATGCAGACAGTATAATGGTGCTCATCATTCTGGGAATCCTCTCTTTCTCTGGACTCTGGCCATCATCTCAGAGAGACATGCAATGGCACCTTCCCACCTGTATTGTTAAGCTGGCTTTCTTGCTGATGGACAAATTATGTACCCTCTGTCCACCATGCCACCAAATAATAGTAAAAGCCCCAGATATAATTAGCTGTTTGCAGGACATGACCATCAGACGTCAGCATGTGTTCTGTCAGAGAGACAGACTACAGCCTTTCATGGCAGTCAGCTGCATGAAGCCTTCAGGTTTGAGGGCAGAAGGTCCTTAAATCTATACTGTGGCGATTCCAAACGTATTCAGTGAAGAGAGAAAGACTGTCAAGCACTGCTAACAATAAATGACAAGTATAGTCAGCAAAGGCTCACAGAATGTCCCACAACAGGGGCTTTCAGCTGACTGTGACCCAGAGACCACCACTCGGATTAAAAGGCATCTTGAGGACCATAGCTGTGTCGTGACTAGACCGAATAAGCACTGTTTTAATCCTTAAAATTACCTTGGCCTTTTTAAATGTTAGATATTTGCAAACTTTTAATTTATTCAGAAACAATAATTAATATATAAAGATAAAAATGGTGATGCCCATAGTGAAAGTTCATTACTGAATAAATGGTCAGGGACCACCTGCCTGGTCTTTTTACGTGATTTGCTGAGAGCAAGCAAATTCTAGGAAATCACTAGTCCCGTACAATAAGAATGAAGCTTACCTTCAACCTCTTGTCCAATCGATAGGCCTGCCCATTTTCTCTGTCAAGAAAAAGCAAAAATGATTTAGATCTACATCTCATTTCCTTTGTATTAGGACACGTTAATGCAGTGAAAACAGGGATGGGCAGCTACACTTCTACTTAACATCACTGTGCTTTCACAAAGACATCAGTGCAACCTTCCTCTGCAACATGGTCTTATTTCACAACACATTTTACACTGAAATATATAACTCAGATCTAGATTTAAAACAGTTTTCAGGTTCAGTTGTATACTTTTATGCACTTTTATGCTGGGTTTTTGAGATGGTAACCAATGAAAGCTGCCGTGTCAAATATGAGTCAGTCAATCAATAGATGTTATTCAATCAGTTCTTATGGCAAAATAAGACCGTTTTCAGGAGGTTACAGTAGTACCTGTGTGTCGCTGTGGCTGCCAAGTTTACAGACAAGAGAAGAGCAGGCAGAGACAGGCAAGAAGGAAGAGGAAAAAGCAGTAACAGAGTTTCAGACAATTAAAGAGGTCCATGCAAAGAGCCCACAGACAACCACACAAGACACATAACTTTACTTGACCAACATCTTGACTTGGGGAATATCAGATTGCATACTGAAGCCTACCTGTGGTAGACTGAAGGCGATGGTCCCGAGGTTCACAGTGGGATGCCTCCTCAATGTGAATACATACTTGTGGGTTACAACACGTACAATCACATGTCTGCATTGAGATACATAAATAAGAGACAAAGGAAAGAACAAGTGTCACCCTAGTTGTTATTGTTCATCCTGTTTTAGTTACTAAATGTACAGAAAGGTGTCAAATTAAAGGAAAAACTTGAATAAATGAGTGGAGAAACATAATGAATGCAGATGCTGGCGTGGTTTGGGTAAACTTGGAGTCGGTGCCAAGGTGCACTGAAGCAGTTCTGGTGGCACGTGGTGGCCCAGCACCTCACTGAGACTCTTGGTGCTGGTTTTTCCTTTGTCACCCATCTCTGTATGAAGTTACTGAGGTGTTCGATATAAAACACTCACTGTAACGGCACAGTTACACGTATCAGAAGAAATCCACTCACTGATCAAACTGTTGCTCCTTTTCATTGATGATGGCACAGTTGGTCAACGACAGTTCGTCCGTCGGGCATCGCGCCACTTGCATAATCTAAGAAAATACAGAAAACTCCACTGAGGATGTATTATCTACAGTCAGTATACAGTATAAATTAGAGCTCTAACTGACAATTGTTTAATCTATGAAATGTCAAAAAGAGAGGAAAATGGAATTCATAATTTCTCATATGCCAAAGTAATTATCTTATCTACTGGGTCTAAAACCTTCATATGCGATTAAAGAAAACAGCACAATGAGAAGCTGCAACCAGAGAATGTTCAGCATTTTTGCTTTGATTAATCATTTATCAAGATATTTGCCATTTAATTTTCTGTTGATCAACTAACTAGTCTATGAATCGACTAATCGTTGCAACTTGAATGATGAAAGATGCTACTCAAAACTCAGCGGCAAGGAAGCCATGCAAGGCTAAATAGGAGTCCTTGAAAAGCTATTATCTTTCAACTTTCATGCAACACAATAGCAATTGTTAAAAAAAAAAATGCAGTACATTACATCATCTGCTAGTGCTGCTGCTGAAGTACTAGGCTACACAGGCAATTACTGCAAACAAGATAATTCAGAGTGTTTACAGTGAAAAAGCATGGACCACCACAGAGCTGCACAGCAATACAGAAAGGCAGTCTGGGTAAGTCAGTACTCGAGACATCACTCCCACAAAACCACCATTACATGCATGTTGCTATAGAGATCTCTGTACACTGATAAAAGGATAAGGATAAGGATAAGAATAATCATCTTTATTTGGCCAAGTATGTTACACACAAGGAATTTGTTTCTGGTACAGAATCAAGGCAGTCATTGTTTCTGGTACAGAACCAAGGCAGTCATTTGCGGTGCCAAATCACACCGATAGCTCTAATATCGGGGGCAACTTGGGGGTTCAGTGTCTAGCCCAAGGACACTTCGACATGTGGACTGCAGGCACCGTGATTCGAACCTCCAAGCTTTTTTTTTATAAAGCTTCTCTGGACCTTTAGTATGGCTGTGTAATATGTTCCACCAGGAAATATCCCACAAGGTCTGATGATACTGTATGTAAAATCTTATTCTATTGTTTGAAGTGCCTGTATATAGTGTATTTCTTATTAACATTCTTCTTGTCTACCTTTTTAGTCACATTACTAAAATAATTCCTTTGTAATAGGCTCTCGGAGTTTTAAGCTCATGATCAGATTCAGCAAGATCTTATCCATGCAAAAAAGATCTTAATTTTTGCCCTCTTTATTAGGTTAGTGATGCTGTGCAGCAAAACACTGTTCAAACCCACATAAATCTATCTGAAATTCTAGTGGAGTTCTTAGATGTTTCCAACAAAACCCAATACTACAGACTGAATATCAGTGCAAGGTTTATAATTTGATCACAATACATCTAGATTTAGACTGAGCATTTCAGAACATAGAGACAATGAGGAGTGAGGAGCTAAAACAATACAGAAAATATGTTCCTGTGACATTGACAAAGCTAGGGAAAATACCAAGGGAAACAATCTTAAGGGTTAAACATCTTAATATTTAGAGGAAAGCTGCATCCCTTCAACCTCTGCTTGACTCAAATGCATCTTCCAAGAGCTCCCATAAGTGAAATAATGTATTGCCTAACAGAGAGCTGCTCAACACATGGCAGCACATCATCACTGGTCTGTTGCAATGGTGTCTGATAACAGTATTACTGTAGCTACTGGCTGAGTGAATCAGCATCCCTATAGCTGTGATGAAGAAGAAGAAGCTTTATTCACTGACATATTGTGACACGTACAACGAAATTATGTTTGGAGCCGCTGCGTGCGTATGCGCCGCCATCACGGGTTCAGTGTCTTGCACAAGGACACTTCGACATGTGGACTGCAGGTGAGATTCAAACCTTCAACCTTCCGGTTGGGAGACAACTGCTCAACCTACTGTCTCCTCCAAGCAACCCTGTCATCCACTGTGATGAAAACCATAGCTAAAGGCTAATACAGTAGCAGTACAGTTAGTTTGTTTCTCCCCTACAGTTAAACCAAACAATCTCCAAACAGGCATGTCAAACTGATTCTAAGTGACTACATAGGATGACTAGTAAAAGCCTGTAGTACATAAAACAAAAACTTGATGTAGATTTAGATTAAACCATATCAAATACTTAGAGCTGGTCAACATCGTATTGGTCTCTAACTACAAAAAATATTAATTAGCAACATAATAAATGTAACCTTGTAAACCTGAAGGATACAGACATCTGTAATTAAGATGTAGAACTCTAGCACTCAAGTTTTAAGACTTCACTTTGTGGTGTGGAAAATTAAAGAAAAAAAAAGAAAAAAACAGTAGATTAATCATTTATGAAAATATTTGTCAGTTACAACACAAACACCCCTTTAAAAGGTAGTATTTATGCAAGGACTGGTGTATTAGCTGAACTGACATTTTATTTTGGTGTACCTAATAAACTGGCAATTGTGTATTTGTAAGCAGCGTTTATGGTAAAACGCTGACACCTACTTGTTTACTACACCTACTTGAAAACAGCAACTGAGCATTCAACATAAATACCGCTTATTTGATTCTTCTTCTTTCTTTTTTACACATGTAATGCTGCAGTTACACTTCCTTCTTTCCACCTCAAACCCACCAATGATTTAGCTTTTGAAAGTCGTTTACAGTCGTAGGGCAGTTGCTTACATCGAAGTCAATAAGGCAATAATTGTACAACTGCGGATACTCGGTGGCCAAAATACCCTGGCTGTTACATACATTAATTTACAGCTCGAATAACAGTATTAAAAGTACTACAAGTTAGCAACAGTCGGAGCAGTCATTGATACTCAATTTGTCTTCCGGTTACGACGTTTTGAATGACAAGTGAATTTGCCACATACGCTGACGCTGTCCAGACTCACTTTACGTGGCAAAAAGTCTACAGTCCTTTAAATACACATTTAATATTTACTATTTTCCATGTGTAATGTACTTGTATTTAATTACTGGTATAGACTTCAAACACACTCACCCGAGCAGCCATCTTTGTTATTAAAATCCCAAATGAAACTGAGTATAAACGCTCCGCTAACAGAACTCCTGACGTGCTAAAAGGCGGAACTTCCTGACGTATGATGATGATGTCATCGCGTACACATAAACGAGAAAGACAACAGATAATGGACCAAATATGATAAAATATTCCGTAAATATTAAAACTATAAAATAAAAACAATATCACTGGTGAAACAATAGAATACCGGAAAAAATTAAAGCTCTATTTTGTCAATGTCATTTTCTATTTCTTTATTTTGTATCTCACATTGAGTTAAAATTTTATAAATCTCTATTTTCAATTATTCATTATTTAAACAGGAAATTGCAGAGTCCTATTTTATATCATACATTATATGTCAATAATTCTAAGTTATAGACAATCTTTCATATTGTCTTAATACTTGGGGTCTAGGAAATCATTCAGAGACTTTAGTGAGATAATTGTTTTTATGCATTTTTCTTTACACTTATTGTATATCTTAATATGTAACACAAAGTGCTTTATTTAGGAAAATGTGATAAAATTAATGGCTTGGTTCTGTCACTCGTTTCATATGGTACACACAGTTCAATTAAGTGAACATTAAAAAAACAAAGTGAGACAGGATGTAGAGAAAAGGAGGGTAAAATCCTTCAATGTGTGGCACAAATTTGTCCTGGAACAAAAAAAGAGGGGTTTTTCAAAAAGTGTCAGAGAACATCACTTGCTGATGTAATGCAAAAATTAGATGGTTTTGTATCTTTTGTGATGAAACAACTTGGCCAGAAAGAGTTTCATGGTGGGGAAAAATAATCTCTGTACCCAGGTCTGATAACATGGGTGGAGTAAACATCGCACTTAGTTTAAAAATCAAAATAAAAGACAATTCAAAGCTGTCAGTTAAACTGATTTAATGCCCTTTTGACGAGAAATTGACTTTTTCAAATGAGTGACAAATACTGCAGCAACAGACTAGGGTGAATTCTGTATTTCATAGTATTAACATGTGAATTCAAATATTTCAGACCTTCCCTTTAACTTCCTCTAAACTACTATACAGCTTCCTGGATCACATTGCCATTCTTAAATGCATTTCAAAGTCACTTTGCAACATGACCAACTTCAGCTTTCGTTACCTCCACGGTAGAACAAACACCGCTGCTTAGTGGACAATTAATGTTACCTGATCAAAACAGCATCTGCAGTTTGTTTTGTTTTTGCATGAGACAAGACCAAATGCTTAAAATACAAAATATTTATTTTGAAAATGTCTTCATAAGAGAAAAAAAAAGAATCAAAACCATACAAATTGTTTGGTTACTAGCATACCGCACTAGTGCTAGGAACTAACAATGGAGAATTGCTCACTCAGGGATAACTCAGATGCTCAGAGGAAATCTCCACCTCTGCCCTCTGATTTCATATTGCACTCAAACACTGAGGCAAGCAGAAGTGCCAAAAAAGTGGCACTAGTGGTGAAATGGCATCCTGCGTGTTCTCTAAACTTATGTAAGCATGACAGGCAGATATGTGGCAGCCATCTTGATTTCTTTTAAACAAAAAACAATCAAATAAAGTGAGTATAATACATATTTGAAATACAGTGGGGACTTAACTGTTGGCATTGTCATGAAGAAAAAAAAATTATCAGAGCTAGAGGGAGCTCTCTGACCATAACTCAGAAGCCCAAAGAATATCGCAACCTTCCAAAAACTGAACAGTGTGCTTCTGAAAGATACAGAAAAAAAGAAGGTGAAACCCTGGTTTCTGCATACACAGCTGGTAGCAGAGTGTCAGGCTGCAGAGGTCAATGTTACACCTTTGAGGTTGCAGTGGAGTTGGCTTAAGGCTCGGGAAGCCCAACCTTATACCAGGTATAAACATAAGTCTTCTTAAACCATTTTATCTTTTTATGTTGTGGTTGTACAATATTCCCTGATGGCCTGATTTGGCCGCTGAGTGTTATACAGAATCCTGAAGAGATATCAAAATTAAAGAGAGAAAAAATGAACAAGTGATGAAACTGTCCAGTGAAGGAGAAGAGGGGGAGTTTGATGGGGAATTCTGTTTGTTGCAGTTTGTGGGACTTGTTGCTCTCACTTGTCCCCTTCTTAAAATATTACACACGCTGGTCAAACACACAGTTCCTCCATCACACTGCCACGGTAATCTGCTCTGAGGAAGAAAAAGAAAACATTAGCCGAGAACAAAAAGAAAAATCACGATATCTTACAGACTTAATTTATACCTATGTCAGCTTCTTGGCTTTGTTGTAAAGCGAATCCACGACTTTGCTCATGTTCTGAATTGTTTCCAAAGCTGCTTCATATGTTTTGTCCACTGGGGGCTCTTCAAATATGATCAAGACACCTTCACCTTGGTCAAGGATTCCTGGCAGTAGGGTCACAGGATAAATACATATATCACAGAACAGTGACGACACTTGTGCTGCCTGTCAAGTGCAAACTCTGATATATTTTTTTAGGCACAGATAATTCTAATTACCATGAAACTTTTTGTCCAGAATCATCTGTGATAATTTCCTCTCAACATCCCCCTATAAACAAAACAAAAAAAAACAAAAAACAAAAAAGAATCATATCATTTAAAAGATACAATTGAGGTTGTTAATGCTCAGGAAAGAAATGGAACAACTGCAGATACATACCTTCGACAGTTTGATTAGACCTGATACGTGTTCTATCTAAAAACCAAAGGAGGGACAAATCAAACAATGAACCATTAATTCCTTTGTTAAAATGATGAGGCACAAGCTCGGCAGCAGACACTCATGTCAATGAAAAATAAACCCTGTGTACAAAACAGGCACTGGGACAAAATACCTTTTTACAGTGATGATTACTGATATAGGCACTACTGCACCAAAATCATGGACATGTTCTGGCATTAGTTACATTAAAACATATCCTGTCTGAATACAAAGTTATGAGAATGTAGAAATAATGCACAAGGAAATATAAAGTGCTAGTGACTGGTTGTCAATGCAGCAAGGCTTTATTGTGTAATACTCTTTGTCAAGGAAGGTGTAGCAGGTCCTCACCTGTACTCTGGAAAATGGCTCAATGACTCTGATGAGGTTTTGCTCCAGCAGACTGTCATACAGCTTGGCCAGGTGAGTGCTGATAATTGGATCACCCCTCAGTTCTGGTCTGTACTCTGTTAGGGCCTGGAGGATGGAGAACTCTCATTTAAGACACTTGAAATACAGTTAGGCAAGTTGTGTGGAAGCATAGTACAAAACCTCATCTCAAGAAACGCTTGGAAAAACACTAGATATTTTATTGTCAGCTATAATTATCCAAATGAAAAATGAAGGAAACCTATTTCTGCATGTCACCAAACAGATAAAAGCAGCTGTAGAACAAGCGTAAAAAACCAGAAAGATGGAAGCCTTATCTGCGTGAAAAGCCATCAACACAGACTCAATAAGACGAAGGGATTCTTACCTTTTCAAAGTCTGATAACGACCTGTTCTTACTGGCCTGAGCAACACATTTCATTGCATCTGTCTAAACAGATCAAGACAAAACAAAAAGAACATCTAGGTGTTATTCTACAGACAACCATGATGGAAATGTTTACCTGTGCAAGACTGATATCTACTACGTTATTTTTTTCTTTTACAAGGATAAAAACTGAAGTAACCATATAAAAGTGAAACTAGAAACTCTGACAAAACTAGAACACTTTCAATGTGGAGAAGTCGCAGAAAGATTTCATTTACAAGGTTTTATAAACAAAGTAAGGAGCACTATTTCATTTAGTTCAAGTAGTATAGTATTATCATTAAGGAATCATCCTTAGTCATACTTCTTGTGTAACAGGAACTGAAGGGAAAAACAATAACTGATGTTTGCCAACAGTTGAAACAAGTTAGACTGTTTCTGCGGCCAAGCTGATACAAGTAGAAAATCACTGGTGCTTGCCTGTCGGCCAGCATATCGCAGGCCCAGTTTGCCGCTGATCAGGGCTTGAACTTCCTCTGGCCTGAAAGAGAAAAACAACAGAGAATTAAACAGGAACTCATTTGGTCATGTTAAAAAGATATGCATGTCTGAGTTTAAAGCACTACTCACAAATTGAGGACAATTTTGCAAAGAAGCATGTATTTGAGTGCTGTGATGGCTCTGGGGCTGTCAATAGAGTCATAGCCCTCGAAGGCCTCAAAGAAGTAGGAGTAGGCTGTCTTCCAGTCCTTCTCCCCTGCTGCATGGATAATCCCTGCAACCCAGATTACAGCACAACAGTTACCAACGATGACCTAAACACATCATGTCAGTCACCTCAAAACGTGCAATGTCAACAAAAACTGGAGAAACTTGCTGGGCTGAAGATAAATATGGCAGTTGGTATGTGACTGTAGGACTGAAAGACGTGAAACCCAAAACGCTCAGTCAGTGTTAGAAGTGACAGAAGTATTAGCCATGAACTGTGTTTTCCAATTCACATTGTTAGTGAAAAGCCATGAAGGAGTGTGATACTATCATTGGGTTAAATTAGAATCACAAAAAAAACAACAAAAACATCAGTTTATGATGTAACACACTCTAGTAGGTAGGACCACTTCAGCCACATCTGACCTGACTGCATGTCTAGTGCTGCCTGGAGCTTTGGAGGACAGTAAATGGCGTTGGCGGTGGTCCTGGCTGAGGTGAGGGCTGCACGAGCCTTAGGCAGGTTACTGAGAGCATGATACGTCTTACTTTCAAGGAGCTGAACCTCTACCAGAAGAGCCTTGTCATCCATCTTTTTCAGCTCCTGCAGCAACTGGGAGCCTAAGGCAAAGAAAACGAATGAGATTCTGTATAAGAGGTTGCAATAACACTGCAGAGCACTGTAAACAGCTGAGGGTGAGTGCACAATTATATGTGCTATTCTTTCTCCTCTCTAAGTAAAAATGTCTACCTGCTGCTGTAAACATTTGTTTACAAGCTACCTTGGTCAAACTGGCGTGTATGTTTTGACAAGCAGCTTAAGATTCAATACATTTTTTACTTGTTACACTTGGGTGGAATAAGACCGCATGAATTGTTAAAGTTTCTTGGTGGACTAGAGAACGCGTGTGGCCGACAGTGATGCAGGAAGACAGATGCTGACATTTTAAAAAAAAAAAAAAAAAAAAGTCCAGGCTCTAAACACTCACCAAGCGCCAAGGCCTCTTGGTACCTTTGGGTGTCAAAATAGAGTGAGACGAGTCGTGCCTGAAAGAAAAGACAGTGCTGTCAGACAAGCATCATCAGACATAATTTTCCTTACTGGTGTTTGCTGATGTTCTAGACCTATAAAGTCCAGCCCTATGTTCTACAGTTTCCATATATTTTGCTTGTTTTCAATGTGTTTTCATTTATACGTCATTCTCCAAAAGTTTCTTCTAAGAAAACTTTAGAGAAATTGACATAAGTTTAGTTTCAACACATTTATTGTCAGGGTCAATGTACAAAAATGCTAATCTCATAAAAAGAGATTTATTGCACCAGATTTAGCTACTAGCTAGCTTCCATCTGCAGTCCCTGGACACAAACAGGAGAAGAACAAATAAAGAATTATGATGAAAATATGATGAATGGAACAAGATGTTTTGTTTTAATGAGGCTCTACACAGTAAAGAGTTTTCACTGACATTTTGACCCACCCACAAACCTGTCATCGTGTTGTCTACATTTTAAGAAAAATTTGCAGATGGTGCAGAAATACAAGTACATTACTAACAGGAGTTCTACAAAACAGATGGTATGTTAAGGTTGACACATGGGGACTTCTCTCTCAACCTGAGCTCATGGTACACACACACCCACACAGTACCTTTGATGCTGTCACACCCCATGGCCTGGCTGAAGAGCATCACTCTTCTTAGCTTTCACTCATTCATTCATACAGATTCGTTCCACTGTTTTCTTCCACACTTTAGACAGAGTACAAAAACAACATCTTGTTGCTCCTGTTTTGTAATTCATTTATTCCTGGCTGCGAGTGTGAACAAGCTGGCAGTCATTTGGTCGCAAAGCTCATTTTGGCACCCATACTGGTGTGATGTCCTCATAGCTGGCACTGTGTTGCTTTTAACTCAAAGAAATGGTGTCGCATTTCTAGTGACAACCAACCGCTCCACTATAATCTGTCTGAAACCACAGCGTCTACAACTCCAAGACTCAGAATATGCAGAATTTGATCTCTCCCACAGCTGTTATTTATGTTTGGGGATATCACTTTTGTTTTCACAATCATGGAGCTCATGAAGTGCTGAGCAGGGTTTGGTAAGACGAACACATCAGCTGTTGGTGACAGGCTGTATTTAATGCAAACGGAAAAATTTCGGTGTGTTTATAAAACCTAAAATAGCTCCCTTAATATTTCTACCTCATTGGCAATCAAGGTGTTAAACGTAGGGAAATTAAAGTATAACTGCACAACTTGGTCTACACAAGTTGTTATAACTTTTGCTTATACAAGGTCATCAACCTCCTCTTCTAAGGATCTCACAGGGCCTTACTCAAGGCTCAATATTCCAGGGTTATTCAGTTGTCCCCTCCTCTTATACAGTACATTTTGTGGGCTTGAGCACATTACAGCATCTTGATAGCACCCACAGTGCTATTTTAACCGCCCTTACCTCCAGCGCCTGCCGCAGGAAGGTCCTCTTCTCAGCCTTGGCCCACTCAATGCATTCAAGACATAGCTCTACTTCCTGCCCCGTGGCTGCCTCCATGTCAAGAAAGAGGTCCAGCAGAGAGCGGACCAGCCGGGCTGCCTTAGCCTTGCTGATAGAAATCAGGAAAGGTCTCACAAATTTCAGCAGACCCCCAAGTTCTGGAGACAGAAAAACAAAATACATTTTTTCAAAAAATGTAAACGTACTCATAATGAGATGGTATTACAGCATCTTGAGACTTGGATGAATAATAACAGACACAGAATGAACACCAAAGTATTACCTGCAGCCTGTCCTGTCTTGGCCAGAAGTGTCCCCAGCTCCAGGATGCTCTGTTCTTTAACCCTGACAGCTTCTTCGTCATTCTCTTGAACATCTCTCCTCACTGTTACAAAAAGGAGGCAACATAGCATTAGAAACTATTCATTTAAATTCCAGCATGATGTGAAAGTTTAAATAGTTAGAGAACCATAGTTAGCCCTCCTTTGTTATTTTATGTGTCATTTCTGGAGTTTTAAATTTTGGAAACTATGATTTATGGTTTTTGATGTCACAATCTGTTATTTCCAATTTATTTACATAATATACCCATAAACCAAGCTGACAGCAACTGTTATTTCCATTTGTAAATATCAGTATAAAAATCATCATAAAAGTGGTTTAAAATACCCATCACAATTACCCAAAGCCTAAAGTTGCATCTTCGAGTTGCTTTTTTGACCAGCTCATAGTGCAGCCCAAACTTAAAAATCTTTAATTTACAAGAAAGGCCAAAAGAGAAAGGCAGTTGATAATCACATTTGTGAAGCCAGAACTGAATGTCTGGCTTTTATGCTTGATAAATGTCATTATAACAATTTGTGAATTTGTTTTTCTGTCAGATTGTTTAATCAGTGAATAATTGCAGCACCACACCGATACACACAAACACACAGCCTAAACATCAGTATTTGAGATAAACAGCGGATAGCTAGAGGGCCGATGTGACAAGGCAATTTGAGAACAGTGAAGTACTGTAAGATCTGTTTACTGTAAACAGTCGTGCATTCTCAATTTGATCATGTTTTCGCAACCATAAAACCACAACAAAAACTTGGCCAATTACTTAAAGTTATCCCCAGTGATACACAATTGGTAGTACTTCTTTTCACTACGAGAGGGCTTATTTTTTCCCGTGTTGATAAGACGTTAGCTTCTTTTGTCGACAAGCTAATGACGCTAGCAATCCTGCTAGCATTACAGCCTGTAGGAGAGGCTAATGCTAATTAGCTTAGAAATTGTAGTCACTGGTAACAACACAAAACCCAGCTAAACAATCAATAATATGACACTGCTGACTACATACACAACACATTTCACGCCCAGGCCTAAAGTTGGCAAAGTGGCTAAGGCACTAACAAGCTAAAATCTACTATCAGTCACTATCGTTCAACAGTGAGTCAGCACGGCACACCACCGGCTCTTGCAACTGAACGCCACTAGCTAACACGCTAACCCCGCCGCCTAAAACTTGCTGAGAAATAACAAATTACAGAGAAACAGAGTACATCTCAGAATAATCCCTGAACACCTACCTATTGAATGGAGAATGTCAATAGAGGCGTTGCGGTCGGTGCTAATGAGAGACTGAGCTCTCTGAAATTCAACCACTGCTGCAGCCGCCATCTTCCTTATTCAAATACTGCTTGAATGAAAAATACGTGCGTGGACTACGTTCCTCAGCGTACATGACGTCAGCGTAAAACTTGCATGTTGGGAATTAACGGATTTTGGGAAAAGTAGTTTTATTGAAATAGGTCGTAAACATTTATCAGGAGCTCATTTTCCTACAGATTTAATTTACATGAGCTATTGAAATACAATTTCTGCCATTCTGTTGTCATTCAGTCTTCTGTCATTATGAGCAGTAAGACAATCTAGGGTTATTCTGGCTGAAAATATTCAGTGCTGTAGCTATCACTGAGAAATAAAATAGAAATTTAGACTTAATTAGTTAATATCCTACACCTACAACTATGGTGATAAATAGACCTTTATGGTAGACCCTTTAGGTAGCTCACACCACTCATTCTTGACCCAAGCCAATACTGTGTGCTAATTCAGTTGGTTTCGTGAGAAGGAGACAACAACCTTTACTCTGTTTTCTTAGTTTTTTACAGAATTTTATCTGGGGAATCTCCACCATATTTGTAATAGACGACTGGCTGATATCAAACACTGAATAAAACAGCAGTAGGCCTATCTGCCCAAATAGCCTAGCAAAATTATGATCCGAAGTGTAGGCTACAAACCTCCAGTTAGGGACTTCTGGGATATTATAGGATGACTGATATTACTGTAAAACACTAAAGGCCTGTGGAAATTAAAATAAAAGTCCTATACTTAATACAAACTTACATCATATATTAGGTTGACTTGAGACTAACGTTGTAACGAAGAAAAACATTCTAGGAGTTCAGTGGGTTCATGTTGCATGATCGCATGCTGTGTGTATCTATAGGCGGAGTAGTTTTCCAGCAGCACCGCGCACAGAGCGCAGAGAGGCGCCCCACCATCGTCTTTGCGTCAGCCGTCCTCACACAACACAGCACCAGCCCTCGCAGCATCCGCATCTCACGGCCGGGAGGACCAGGAGCACATCTTCATCATTCCACAACTGCGGACCACCGTCTACACACCGCCGACACCAGGCGTATTCATCCATCGTTTGCCTCTTGCCTCGGCTCGGATTATACTTTGTCGTATTTCTAATTCTCCGAGATGCTTTTATGTTTTGTTCGCGTTTTATAAGGAAAACACGGATTCAGGACGGGAAGCATCATCTCTACGGCGCAATTCATTTCTCATACAGCCTGAGATCTGGTAAGTTTGTTTAAATTTTGGGACATATTCTTGCTGAAAGTGTAGTAGCCTACTTATAGTTTGCACACATTCGTTGATTTATTAGGCTATTTGATGATGCGCAGCTATATTTAATCGGGAAATCATGACAATAAATTGAAATAAACGGAGACGTGAAGCTGCAGATAAACATAGTCACTGTAATATTGTGATATATTTATGGATAGGGAGAAAGGATGAGGATATTTTTTATTTTTCAGCCACCGCCTAATATGGCCAGCCTTTCTATTTCGACGCAGACGCTCCGTTTCAGCACCATGGAGAGCAGCCGATGTACACAACTCCTTATCACAGGAAGAAGCCCAAGAAAACAGCTCAATGTAGTCTAGTTAAGTCATATATTAAAAGCTCATGTTATGGAATTTCTTCCACAACTGACCAATCAACCCTCAGATTAATAACAAAACGATGAACGATCGAGCAGCTTGGATCCAGGATAAGTGAGCAAAGTCGATCATACGCATAAATACTGCAGTGGAAGGAAATAGGCTAAGATTATGTCATTATTTATCTGCTTTGACTGGAAGTAAATCATATGACTGGGGCTTTGTTGTTTAATGTGCTGCGTCCTCACTGCATCAAAGGCGACCTTTACCTGTTATTATGGTGTTTACGTTCCTGTCTTCCATTTTAGTGGTGGCCTGTGGTTCAGTATGACTTGTCGGTCATTGCCCATAAAATATGGATCTCTCCTCATAAAATGTTTATAAATCTACCACATATTTTCAATCAAATGTGGTATAGAAGTCTATATAACTGACACAAATACACCAATAACATTACAGAACTGATAACTCGGATATTATCTGATGTAAGAGGAATTATTCTAGATCTAATGTCAGATTAAAGGATTGTTTTGCTATTTGAAAACATCTATGGATAAAGTAAAGGCAGCTCATTTACTAGTTATTTTTCGGATTGTTGATCTTTTCTGTTTCCACCAGTGGCCATCTGGAGGTGCAGACAGGGAGCTGAAAAACAACAGAGACTGTTTTGGTTGGGGTGGTCATTATCCCAGCAGAGAGCAGTTATTAGGACAATCTCCTCCAAGGCTTTAGATGCCCAGTGGCTGCCTGTAGCCCAGGACCCCCAGCTCCCAGAAGCACTGAGGTTTTGAGACCCTCAGGAAGTCCCCTGGCAGACATCATTCGAACCCAGTGCGGCTAAAGCCCCTGGACACCCCTCCACACTCACAATGGGAACCGTGCTGTCTTTGTCACCTAGCTACAGAAAGGCGGCTCTCTTTGAGGATGGACCGGCCACTGTGGGCCACTACACAGCTGTTCAGAACAGCAAGAATGCCAAAGACAAGAACCTGAAGCGCCACTCGCTCATCAATGTGCTCCCATGGAAGCGGATTGTAGCAGTGTCAGCCAAGAAGAAAGGCTCCAAGAAGGTGCAGCCTAATGGCACCTACCAGAACAATGTCACCCACTTGAACAATGAAAACCTGAAGAAGTCGCAGTCATGCGCCAACCTGTCCACCTTCAACCAGGATCAGAGCACTCCAGCGGTCACCAAGAACTCAAACAACACAGCATCGTCTGTCAAGAAGGCCCCACTGATCAGCTCCAATGTGGCCCCTGGGACTCCAAAAAGAGTTATTGTTCAGGCCTCCACCAGTGAGTTGCTGCGCTGCCTCGGGGAGTTTCTTTGCCGGCGTTGTTACCGGCTGAAACACCTGTCGCCTACCGACCCAGTGCTGTGGCTGCGCAGTGTGGACCGCTCCCTGCTGCTCCAAGGATGGCAGGACCAGGGATTCATCACCCCCGCCAACGTGGTCTTTGTCTACATGCTGTGCCGTGACGTGGTCTCCTCTGAGGTGGCCACGGAGCATGAGTTGCAAGCCGTGCTGCTCACCTGCCTCTACTTGTCTTACTCCTACATGGGCAATGAGATCTCCTACCCTCTCAAGCCCTTCTTGGTGGAAAGCTCCAAGGAGACCTTCTGGGACCGCTGCCTGTCTATCATCAACCTGATGAGTGCAAAGATGCTGCAGATCAACTCCGACCCGCACTACTTCACTCAGGTGTTTGCTGACCTGAAGAACGAGAGCCAGAAGGAGGAGGAGAGGAGCCGCCTGCTCATTGGCCTGGACCGGTGAGGGGATGCTGGGGTGGGGTGGGGGAGCAAAGGGGTCAGGGGAGGTACTCCAGTCTGGCATTTTGACACATTTGAAAGATTATTTGTGATGTTATTTATTTATTGTTGTTCAAACTGCAGTGAGACTAGGAGAGCTAGGAAGTGTTAGACATTTCAAATAACTTTGTATCCTGTAAGACCAATAACAGAATCTTCTTCTTTATTATGTTGATTTCAAATGTTTGTGCTTGAAGTATGAAATTTTACCACAATTGGCCATAGCTTTTAAAAGCACTCTTGTAATTATCAAGGTCAAATTCTGTTGTCAAACAAACAAAAGATGGATTTTCTGTAAACTTGAAAGACTTTTTTGACAATAATATATAAACAAAAAATGCCAGACTTGGGTAAACCCTTTGCTAACATACAGACATATATCAATAAGAAATACTGTATACTATAAAAAATCAAACAAAAAACATTAGTAAAGAAAGCATACATCTACAGCAATGAATGTGGACAGGACTGAGGCTGCAGCAGCCTACCAGTGACCTTCTGACTGTCTGACGATGTGATGTGCACTGCCTACTGCAGGAGGGTGAGGGCCATCGCCTGACTGGCTTTCTTCATGCATCATGGATGAACAGACATCCCAGGCTGCAAACCCTGGCTCTCAGAATGCCAACACCCACATCCCCTCCATTCATACGGATACGAATGGACACTTTTTCTGCAATGCATATCTGACTATCTATGGGAAGAACAGCAGGGGGGCCACCAGTGCTGGATCCATATTTTTGTGGCTTTCTGTTTGTGGCTCTGCATCAGAACAACAGTTGACTGGATGGACAATGAGAAAACATGTGGGACTTTTGATTAATTAAAACATGACAGCCAGAGGATGTATGGCCAGTGATAAGTGGTCATATTGTGTTTGTTCAGAAAAACTGACTTTATATTCATCTAGACAAAGATAAAACAAGTTAATGGATGTTTGACTCCCCAAAGGCTTAAACCTATGGGGGTTTATTCATTGCTTTTCTGAAACAGGCTTTCTTGTTTTTATTTATTTATTTATTTTTTACTTAGAAATGTAATGTTTTGCACGTGTGCCATGAATTTATCAGAGTTCCCGGGAGGGCAGGAGCAATTTTCCTTCATTTTCTTTTTTACTTGATTTGTAAACTAACTGCATCTGCATTAGGGAATGCTGTGAACAAAGTGACATTAGTTTATTTAGCTGTGCTTGCTAAAATAGGCTATTTGTTTACCAGGGAAATTCTTTTTGTACTTTTGTCAGTAGGTTGTGTTGCAACCACTATGGAATGATGTTTGATTTTGTGCTTATGATTCAGCATAGAAAATGTTAAAACCGTGCCATATCTTCAATGAAAATTCCACAGATCTGAGAACATGGAATACTCTACTGTCTGTCCAGTTGTTGAATGATGGGGTGGATTTTCATCTGCTAAGAACTGCTCACTCACACCTAATATATTCCTATTTACATATGTATTATTTAGGCACATTTAATGTAAATGAAAATCATGATGAGAAACGCTGAGAAGGGAAGGAATGAAGAGGGCAGGTTTCTGGTGTAGCCGGTGTGATTACTTTTGGTGGGAATGATGATTGATCTGGTTTATGCAAATTAAAGTTGCAGGGATTTATCACTATCTAATTAAAGGCCCCTCAACCAAAACCAATGTTAAATCTGACCATCACCAAAGTGACATCATCAAGGACACCCTGACAGAACAAACCATCCTTTTACTTTTTGTTCAGTATGAGGAGCTAACCCGGCCTGCTGTCTCGCATATCACAAAGAGAAAGTACACACGTTTTTCAAGGGAAATAAATGAACTGTGGTACTTGTTCATCATCACTGCAGAAAGCCCAGCTTACCTTGGAGATAATCCATCAGCATCTGTTCTGTGCAAATCAAATGTGAGGTGACAAACAGGCTGGAGGAGATGAGGTGACCTTGACAGGAATAATTACATTTTCAAACAGAGAAACCACAAGACTAAAATAACATGCTGCAGTGTGCAATGGGAATACCATGGCAACCAAACCAGAAAACATGCATAACAACCAAGATATGTGGCTTTTCATTTTCATAAGAGAATTGCTGAAGCGATACTCAACAGCTCTTCGCTGCCTCCAGTGACTGCAATCACTGGATAAGCTACAGTATTTCCACGCAGAAATGTAAGAGAAGTTTATTTACGGGTTTTAAAATCTCATTTCAATACAAAGTGTGTGCACTCTTTTCTTTGCAGCAGTGTTCTGAAAATCTGTGCACTGGTAATGCCAACAAGAGGCTTCTGCCATGTTTAAAAGTTGTTCCCAGAGAACTGAAGGTCTCTCCGCTGCTTTGTTAGTGTGAATGAGAGAAAATGAGCAGCTCAGATTGTCACAGCCTGTAGCCTTCTCAGCCGTGGGACTGGGGCTGTCATATGGAGTTAGATCAGTGAGACCGTTAATTTGGAGTGTTTGTTCCAGCACAACAGGGGGACATGCCCTTTGAACGGGCTTCTGCTCTGGCAGAAAACAACGGGGCACTAGGGTAAAAAGCCTCAAACGAGGACCCTGAATCATTTTCTCCCTGTCCACCTGTCCTGACTCACTTGAAATGTGCCATTATTTCCCACTTTGCATTATTGAGTAGTTGTTTGAAAAATACTTTTAAAAGCTTCTAAAATATGAAAAAAGACTCAAGTGATAGTTAATGATTTCTGTCCAATTCTTTTCTGTATCTTGTTGCGTACTTTGTAGATTAAAAAAAAAGAAACAGTGGTTAAGAACTTCATAAAGAGAGGCTTTTGGTGGCTGCATGTGTGTGTGTGTGTGTGTGTGCGTGCGTGTGTGTGTGAGAAAGACAGTGTTTTAATTGTACAGAAGAATGTTTATGTGTTTTCTTATTGGACCAGGAGCACACACCAACGCCACTGGTATTAGAACTAGAGAAGTTAGTTTTTCTTTGGTGGGGTGGTGGGATTGATGCTGTTCAATAAAAATGTTCTTTTTTGAAAAAAGACAAAAAAAGTTGTTGCTGTAATTCAACCTTTTTCAGTTATTTTCTGCTTATTTTAACTTATTTTTGTACTGTGATGGAAAATAAAATGCACTGATTGTTCAAGGCCATCACTTGTCTTTTTACAACTCCAGCTGTGGACTGATGTGCACACACTTATCTGCCCTGGCAATCAGCATCTCTTTTTTAAAAAAAAACATAACTTTACACAGGACGTTTCAGTGAGAAACATCCGCAGTTACAGATGTGTTGGCCATGGACAGTCACTGGAGTTTGACAGTTAACAGGGTTAATAGCCTTACTCACCTCTCTATGGTTGTAATGAGGGAATGAGACTTTCCAGATTTTTTCCCTGGACTGGGAATAAAACTTGGAACCCTCTGGTCACAGCAGTTGTAATTGGCTAGTAATTGATTGGTTAGTGGTTTGAGTGTCAAAATGTCCTTGAAAAATAATGCTGAACCCCAGATAGACTGCTCCTATTGCGAGTGTCTGTTTGGAAGAACTGTAGGTCACTTCAGACAAAAATAATTCTCCTAATAATTATGTTATTCAATTCAAATATGGAGTTTACAGTGGCCCATTAGTTAAACATGCTAAATAAAACTGCAATTCAAAAAAATCTTTGCTGTATGTTGTATTCACCTTTCTTGTCTGTCACTATCAAACAAATGCTGAAATGGCCAAAAAAAAAAAAAAAAAAACATGCCAGACAACAAGGGATTGTTATTTCACTTTCTTTCACTCTTCAAAAAGGGAGACAAACAGACGACAGTGGCTCTGTGTACGATGGCTCAGTGGTGAGATGAACTCAAGTCATATTCCAAAAGTGTTAATTTGAATTATATTTTACACCAGTTGTTATTTAACACGATTACTTATGTGTTTTCAGTCCATGCTTAATGATCATTTTTCAGTAGATTTGTGTAATGTTTCAACTAACACTTGGTGGCTGCCCATTTCTTACATATCCACTATGGACCATTGTTTCTGCTACTTTTCTTTAAACTACCTCTTTCTGCTCACTCAACAGTGCTCATGCATTCCCAATCAGTCTACAAATGATTCTATTTGCTGGGACACTAGTCCTGTGCAGACAGCGTGTTTGTTTGTTTGTAGTTAATTGTAACTAACATCAGTCTGTAATTATGTGTAGCTTCCCAGTCTCCAGCACCTGCAGGGTACATGGAGCCCTAGTTGGGAGTCAGTGCCTAGATATACTGAGCCCCCACAAAAAAATTGGTTTGGGTCATTTCACTTCTTGCGTGTCACTCTCTGTCCATTAACAACCATTTAGTATTTAAGCAGGAGGTCAGTCAGTCTTACTTAGTCACTGCCCTTGAGGAAAAAAAGGGCTCAGCAGATAATCATCTCTCACTCAGTGGATCATAAACCCTTGCTGGTGGAAGCTGGTGATGCTTGACACAGTGGCAGAGGGGAGCAGCGCTGTCATGCCAACTGCAGGGGTTTCATTTGTTTCAGCATCAGCTGATGAAACAGTTGTTAGTGGGTGGGTTAACACAGAGCTCCCCCTAATTATTACCACATCACAATGTAGAGACTGACTGGCTTCGAGCAACATCCGAGTCCGCATAACATCAGTTTTTGTTCAATATCTAGACGAGCAGTGTCCTGCACAATGATGTGGATAACATCTTAACATACCCTCTCTTTCTCTCTCTCATTCTGTTTTCATTCATTGTGGGGACTTTACATTGACTTGCAATCATTTCCTGTAGACTTAGCCTAACTTTAACTTGTGGGGACCAGCGCGAGCATGTTAACAGGTTTCAGTCCCCATAACATAAGTAATACAACGGCACACACACACACACAGTATTATCACCACCAGTTAAAAAGCTTAAAGAACAAGAATCAGATACTGAAGCAAATAAATTTATTAATAAAATGATTACTGAAATAGTTGTCATTATGGAACATCAAGGGATGCATCATCTGTATATATACAAAAAATATTTGCACAAAATTACATCAGTTGCCTTTATAGTTAGCTTGGATATAATTATTACGGTATTATAATGAAACATTACACAAATATGCAAAATAGAAAATTATTATATAATTAGGCACATACTGAATGAAAGGTGCATACATAAGGATTTTGAATAAATAATAAAAAACAGAAAATGGAATCAGTTACCCTTTGGCTAACATGGGGAGGCTTGAGAACAGCCTCATGTCAAATATGTCTGAAACAAAACTAGAAGAATGTACTTGGTAAGCTCTCATTATAGAGAACAGTAAGAGGATGAGCACAATGGCACAAGTCTTCTTGGCTTAATATTCATATGTGATGTTCCTTTATGCCCATTTATAAAGGAGTAATTAGGTAAAGCCTGTGATTTTTACATTTGCAGTAAAGCTGATAATGAATGTACTGTAAATCATCAGTGACTGGGTTTAAAAAGAAATCAGAGCACTGTGAAGTACAACAAAACTGTCAACAAAACACAAAACCGACAATGACTTGATCCTACTAACAAGAACAGTGTGCATCTACAGCCTGATCTGTGTTCACACTATAGACTGGGAGACATGGGCGCTGTAGTTTATTTTGACTCAATCCCAACTACACTGCCTTTTTGCTCTAAATACTTAGTCACAACCAAATGTATATCAGTACGCTGCTGAAAATAGTCCCTGAGAAATGCACTATTTCCTCCTGTAATGTACGCTAAAACATACAGTGCCCAGCTGTTTTAGGAAACTACTTTGACTAACACAGGTCCAGAAAGTCAGAAACTACACAGACACATTGTAGACTTTGATGTTTTCAGGAGATCTGTTAACACTAACAAAGATATGACAGTGTCTTTATCCTTTCTTACGTGTTAGATCCTATTTCTGGTTAATATACTCAGCTTTGTCTTGTTTCATCTTTGTTTTTTGTTGCTGTATGACATTCCTATTGTGCGACATGTCTTGTTGCTGGTGTATTTCCCTTTTTTTCCAGGCCTCCTGAGCACAGGATGGCTGAAAGAAAAACAAACAAAAACTGGAAAACCTTCATTGCCCTGCAGGATGGTACAGTCAGCGCTGCTGGGCAAGGAACCCAGTGATTATGACTTAGGAGAGCAATGAGAAAAGCACTGGAGTGAGAAGTGACATGCAGTCCATCCTAAAGCTGAGCAGTGAACAGGCTTGTGGGAGATGACAGTGCTGGAGGATACAGGGCGTTGCAGTGTTATACTCACACATACATCACAGGCAGTCACTGATCTTAAGCTCTGTTGAAAACTGTCTATTTATGTCACTTCCTTAATCCACACTATGAATACACCAGTTTCCCCAAACAAGTCTTTTTGCCTTATCAAGTAACAACACAAGGTCATCCACCAGGAAGCAGTGAAGAAGAACAGAGGAACTTGCAAACTAATTAAGATAAACAGCTTGCTCAGACAACACTTGAGCACAATTAGAGGGCTGTGTGGTTCAAATGACTGCTAACAAGTTTTCCTTCCTGCTAAAGACAAGTTGACAAGAGTGTCTCAGCCTGTTCATCCAAGCCAGATGCCCAGGGAGCCCTGATTTACAACTGTCGTGCCTCAGCGTTCAGTTCTTCACTTAGAGACAATACAGACAAGTCTCTGCAGGTAGAGAGATGATGCAGTGTTGGTTCTTGGATCATCATGACCTGTCACATGTATGATAACCATGATAAAAACGCTGGTTTGTCCAGTTGTCACGACACTATAGATGTTCAAGTTTAGATTTTAGCAGTAATAACTTCTTGCTCATGTCAGCCAAAAAGCTGAGGTTCAAGAAATAAAGAAAATCTCACTATGAGGTTCATTTAAGAGCTGTTCTGAAACTTTCGGAAAGAGGAAACTGGAACAGGTTTCTGTGTCACCTTCAGCTCTGATATGCACCTTGGCTCTGCTGAACATTTACAGGCAGCGCGGACCTCTGAGGGAACAGAGTCAAAATAGAGGAAGTTTTCATAGCTTGTTAGCTGTGTGACACTACCACCTTACATAAACTAATAATAAATGCACATTATAAAGCCAGCTATCTCCATCTCATGGTCTTCTGTGCTGCCACAAATTTTTTCAATACTTAGTTCAAGAGCATATTGTAAATGTGTTAACACAAACTTTCAACGCAGCCAACAGCCTGTGAGAAGTGTTGATGATGTGATTATCAGTGTGAACTGGCTTCCCACACAGAGAAAAATGAAGGGAATTTAGCACAATCTGATGAATCAAGTGTCCAAACAGTCCTCTGTTCACACACACAGGTAAAGCATGACAGACTGCACACCCCGGTCTCCACTCCATCGCTGTGGCCACTGGCTAGGCTCTCGCTATCTGAGCCAAGAATAGAAGAGCTAATCAACACACACACAGACACACAGTGTGCACACTCTTCCTCTCTGATGAAGGGAATATTTGTCAAGTGAAAGTCTGTTCCCAGGGACTAAGGACTACTACAAGTCATTAGGTGATTCACTTAAGATAGCTAATGTGTTCAGAGACTGGAGTTCACATGGGACCATGCAGTACTGGGTAGCTATGCTAGAACATTAAATCTTACTTATTAAGAGAATATGAACAGAAAATAACTGTTGTAAAAACTAATGCCTTGGTTATTGTCTCCATATCTGCTTTCTACAGTATTCTTATAACATCCTTTTGGACACTAAATGCAGTATAGTCCTGTGCATACATAATCTCATGCTGCTTACATACAGTATAATCTAACTTTGAATATATAAGCAGTATTAGAGTATTATAAAAGTACAGACATTGCAGTAGGAAAGTATAAGATGCAGAATTTAAATTAAAGGATTTAGTATGAAGCAGGCTGTGATGTTCTGGATATGCTCAACACATCCTACTCAACATCCTGTGAATAATTGGTGCATCAGACACTAAGTGAATCACTGAGTCATGTTTTCTTACTCACTGCTCCCACATGTGATTGTAAACACTGAATGAACTAAAAGTGGGTGCTGCACTTCCTTTCAGTTTCCACCTCAGTAGGTAGGTCTTAACATCATTATTCCATTTTAAAGCAGAGAATCAGAACCAAACATAAATACCTTCTCCCTTCATTTTTAGGGGTTTCACTTGTGACCTGCTCCTCCCAGGGAGCTGACAGGATTTAAATATCACTATTATGCAACATCATTGGTTCTGCGAAAACAGTTGCTGCATAATCTCCTCTCACCTTAACCCACAATCCACATTAAACTAAATATTAGACAAGCAAATCATTTCAAATTTGGATAAAACAAAAATTACATCACTTTGGTGGATTATCATTTAGTGCACATTTCTCGGTTTGTTTAGCCATTAACGTTTTGCACGTAGACATACAGTACACTTTCTGTTCATAGTAACATTACACACAAATGTACAAAATAGGTCAAATTTGGCATGGCTTTGCAGTTGAAGGATTCGGTTACCCCAGTCCTCCTAGAGATCTGCTATCTACACCATCACATTATCAGCAGCTCTGCAAGAAACACAAGAAGTGACTCAGAAGAAAGTCATCATCATCCGAGCCTGGCAGGAAATCAGGTACTTTTTGATTGGCTCACTTAATTTCCAGGAACAGCCAGGATGTAACCAGACCGGCTCTTGGTGAAGTCTGGCTGTGACTGGTTGATTTTGGGCTCAACAATGACCGTGCGCTTCCTCCCATGCATGCTGAACTGGATGGGACTTGCGATATTCACCTGCAACTTCCTCTTCTCACTGCAGAGAGGAAATAAAAGACAGTGACAGAAGCAGAAAGAGAGAAGTCAGTTATTGCTGGTTGCACATTTGGTTTGCTCAGTGGCACCACATTATATTGTTATAGTTTAATGCACAGAAATAACTATCAGTGGAAAGGTATGAAAGGCTGTTTAGGCCATAATACTGGATCCAGACTACACAAATGTTTTGTCTGAGAAGTGACCGTGTCAAATGATATGACCAGTGCAACAATTAGCAGCTGTGACTCCGGGGTAGAGAGGGTTGACCCCTGGTCGAAGAGTTGACAGTTCGATTTCCAGTTTCCCCGAGTCCAAAAGTCAAAGTGTCCTAGGGCAAGATGCTGAACCCCAAGTTGCTCTCAGAGGCCAGGCCAGTACTGTACAGCTGGAGTTGCCAAATGCCTGCTTCGTTTAATAATAAGGGGAATAAACATCGTACGAAATCATCTGCATCGGGCTCGGGTTGGGTTCAGATGCTATATTCTATAGGTTGTCGGGTCAGGTTTGGACACCCCACACTCCACACCCTAGTGTGAGGACACTGGTAGGAGGGGCCAGGGACTGGGAACAAGAATGTAGACAGAATGCCTCTGAGGACCATGCTATGTCCCACAGCTATGCTAACATTAGCTGTATCACTGTGGTACTGGTGGTTAACTCAAAGTTTTAAAGGATAAGGTTGGTCATTTTCTATATTAACAGTACTTTCCACACTTCCCATACAAAGAATAAAACCAACAACGAACTGCCTCTACTCAGTCTGTCAGTCTCCCACCTGGATCACTGGGTGACACGTTTCTTCATTACAAAACATAAGACCCTGATATTTGATAAAAAATGTTGTCCCCAAGGCTCCAAACGATCATAACTTTTTACAGTGTCTGTAGGAAGCAAGAAACAACTGCGCATGTGTGAGATTTCCATTGCTAGCCGTCTGCTTTGTTTACAGTCCTCCAGCTCCTCATGCTTTCATGAAGACCTAGAAAAATTCTGGCATGCTAGACTGTGTGTCGGGACATCATGACATGTGCAGATGCAGCATCAGGCACTGTTTACTACAACACAGTATGAGATGAAATGAACAGTTGTTGCATCATAACTCCCTGTGACTGCCGGCTCAGGCCATTATTGGGATTGAATTGTGTAGTCTGAACCCAGCATAACTCATTCTTGCTCTTAGAGAGCATCATTCTGTAATGTCACAAATACAGCACATTCATCTCCACACACACACACACACACACACAAACTACTACTACTACTGCACTGTGTAGCCTACACCGTTATATGCACAGTCATTCTCTCCCATTAATTCGTCCCATAGAAAACAATGCTCACAGAACACTTGTACAGCTACCCAGCTTTAGGAGAACGTATAGTACAGTATGTAGGAGAGTATTATGCTGTATAAGTATGAGCAGAGCATCACTGTGCAAGCCAGAGTGTATAGGAGTGTGTGTGGGTGCTGTATGCCCTGAAGTTATCTCACAGAGGAGAAATGTGCTGGTGTTTTCATGTTTCAGCATGTACACTAAGAAAATGAAGATGAATAACAGAGGAGAATTCAGGCAGGAGTGCTGCTGATGGAATGATCCATACAGCGTTTCTGGGCTGGAGAGCGGGAGCCGATTGGTTTTTAGTGCCTGTCACATCAAGTTAGACTCTTTCCATGTGAATAAGTGCTTTGCCTCATTTGCTCTTAAACAGGATCAATGGCAGGAATCAAACAGTGCAAGGAAATAAATATAAAGTTTGAGGCTGCCTCGGGGGGGAGGGGGAATGTAATGTACAGTAAATGTGGGAAATGATGAGAAGAGGACTGTGATAATTGTTCTCTGGTTCAGAGGGAGTGAGAGGAAGGTGAGATGCAAATATAAAGGGGTTGGGAGAGGAGGGGCAGTGACAGGAAGCTAAAAGCATGATAAACACATGCAGTTTGGGACACACTTTCTCACTGGCACAGTTATCGATCATGGCTGCCCGTGTCATTTGTAAACAAACCCGCAGCTACTGCTGGACTCGCACAAAGCCGCCAGCCTCTGTCCCTCAAATCTAAACTTGTGAAATGAGTTGTGAACCCGATAACAGTGACTTGCAACAACAGTAAGTCATAAACAACCAGCAAAAGGCTCCTGCTGCCCACGATGCACTCCTCCGCAGAACGTGTGCAGCTCTCGATCCCAGCTTGCGCCGAGAGGAGAAGCTCAGGGTAGCGCTGATGCCGGTTTCCATGGCAACCCCCGTGAACTGAACTCCCCCATCTGTCATGGCTGCCAGCCAGCCAATGGTGCTGTGTGTGTGTGTTTGTGCATTGTGATGCATCTCTTTCTCTGTCCGTCTCTCATCCTGTTACTTCTTCAGCTCACTGAAATGCCAGAGGGGCTGCTGTGCTGTTTCTCGTGAAGGGCAAATGAGGTTAGGTTCAAATGTACTCACACACATGCATACACACAGAACATAAACACATCCTTACAAAGCTTTCACTGGACACACAAAACAGGTCTGTCACCTTTCTCATCCATCATCGCCAAAGCTTTCCCCTGAATATCTGGGATTCTAAGAAAAACCAGTAGAAAAACATAAATGTTTGAGTCCTAAGGTCACTGGCTGGCCTTTTCTATCAAGAGCTGGTCTGAGCCAGTCAGAGCCCTGAGGGCAGACTTAGTCCTCCATCGGACAGTCCCTCCAACTGGAAAATCAATTCTTTTCTTGTCCCTGCCCCCATCCCCTTTGTGTGTCTTTGCCCTTCACGCCTTGTGAGTCCAAGCTCACTTGCTCCCAAAAGTATCTCCTCTTTATTTGGAAGGACGGAGGACAGGAGGAGAAGGAGAAGAGGAGATGGATGTGAAAATTAAAGCAGACAACATTTTTCAGACTCAAGGAAGAGGTATTCAAATATAGAATATGCTGAAAATATGGAGGAAAAAAGTAGCAGTGCTGAAAGGTATCAGAGTGAAGAAAAATGTGAAATGAGAACGGGGAAGAGAAGTGGGAGAAGATGATCCAAGCTATTTTCAGGCCAAGGAGACAGGATTACCTCCAGCCCGTGAAGCCATCCACTCCTACTACTGAGTCATCCCTCTAATGTGTACCTGGCTCTCCCCCAAGCTGAGTGCTGCAGGTGGGGAAGAGGGGAGAGGGGAGGGACACTGTGCAAAGCTGACCTGCTGCAAGGACACAGGACTTTGAGGAGGTGCTCAAAGTTGAACTCTTTCTTAGTGCTGACCATGAAGACAGAGTCTTTTTTAATGAAACTAAATCACAGCACAATATGCCAGCTGCACTGCCTAAGACATAGTTCAGACCACCTCCTCAAAATACATCTTGGTCTTACTAAATCAGTAAACTCACTGAGCAGCCTAAAGAAACTACATCTGCATAATTCAGTTATATTAACATGTATATAAACATTATGAATTTTCCTAACTTTGCTCTTCAAATAAGCACAAACAGAACTTCACTGTCCAACTCTCTGTCTTATAATTAATTACTATTCTTGGCATAATCTGAAGGGAGGGAGATGTATACAACAGTAACACTCTAACGCAGGTCCACACAAACAAACATGTACACACAGACAGTTGAATTCCAGCAGCCAAACCACGTTGTCGATCTGTCAGAGACTCGGTTGTCATCTTTCAAGTGATGCCACTTTCTTTAACAAAAAACACTGCAGCCTCCTGATTTCAGTTAGTGGGACCATACTGAGATCAAGAGAGAAAATGCAGAATGAGGGCTAAACACATGCATGTACAATATGTGTGACAGTGCATGTGTGTGGAGGTCAGGCCCCTCGGGGCAATGCAGACCCTGCCTTTATGACTGGTGGGTAACCAGGGTTTGATGTGTTCTTTAAATGCACGCTGTGGTCCACTGGAATGGGAGCATTAATAGCTCAGGTTCTTCACAGCTTGGTAAATGTTTGATTTGGCTTTAATTGTTAAATTTCTAAACCATCTGCTCTGGGTTAGATTATACTGGGTGCAAGACACCACAGAGAGAAATATTATTCAGTCTTTTGGTGTTTAGGACCTATAGTGCTTTGCTTAAACACAAGATTATGTAAAACCGTTATGTTATCATAGTTACAGCTTATGTATGCATTTATATTCGTGAGGGCTCACAGGACAAGATGACTATGATTCCAGAGTTGGTTAAAAAATGCTGTGCACAGTCATTATAGCACTCTGCCCATTAAATTTATGGCCACTACAATGGACTGTGGCTGATGTGTGGCAACCATTAAGGGCTGCTTTTCAGGCACTTACATATTATTGAGCTGTAATTAAGTCAGATATTTCAGAACTTTCAAAACAAAGTGAGCACATGATGTTGATGGAAACACACGACATGATCGTGGCATTACAAAGACTGGAGTAGGATTAGGTAACAAGCTAGAGGTGGTTAACAGTAGCTACTTTTACATGATGCACACAGAGCACGAGGGCCAAACACACAAGATGCACATCTGCATCACAGTAAAAATAATCCTGAAGTGTTTTGTTCTGGAGGATCACAAACAGAGAATGTGATATGAGGCCATTCACCAGTGGGTAAGGGCCTAATCTGCCCCAGTTTAAAGTGGCTGGGGTTTGAAAACTGCCCAAGTGGCTTTCTGAGCGCAGCTCTTTAATTAGCATCACTGTGCCCAAGTTGTACAGCACTGCTAGTGCTGTGACTGCAGATGTGGTGTATGAATAATGGAGAAATGCAGAGGAAGACATGCAAGGAACAGTTTGATAGCAGGGTGAGGGTGCTGATATTTCTGAAAAGTACTGTATCTGCAGTATTACCAGAAGGCTGGATAGCCATCTCAAGAGTGCAGACATTATATCAGTAAAAGTCTGTGTTGTAGTGCTTGACAATTGCAAACTACAGAGGATAACATGTCTAGAGGCAAGGATAAACCCCAAAGACCAGATCAAATGATGAATGAAAAACAATCTGCAACAACAGTCTGAAGGTACAGTATTTCATCAGGTTTACTGCATCAAATTA